GTGTTTAGACCATACTTTTTCATGATGGTCTCTAGAATTGAAATGTCTGACTCTGAATCCTAACTCCACCACTTATTAGCTGTGTGACCTTAAATAAGCACCTTTTAGCATCAGTTTCCTCAGGCTTATCATCATGTGAGCCTTTCCACTGGGCCAGTCAAGTGTCTTCATGATATGGGAATTGTCCTTCCCTAGGGTGAACAGAGAGATGGAAGGATGGAAACCATAGTGACTTTATGACTTGCCCTCAAAAGTAGCATACTGTCACTTCTGTTTTATTCAACTAGTTAGAAATAAGTAGCTAAGTTCACCCTGTACGCAAGGAAAGGGGAATGAGACTTCACCTTTTTAAGGGAGGAATAGCAAAATAATTTGTGGACATATTTTAGAACTACCTACACTCCAACCTCTGCCCACAAATTGTTTCCTTCTTCCCACCTGCAAGTAACCTCTCCCCATCCATATCCTCCCCAAAGTCACATCAGCTGGAAATCCAGAATGTTGGCATTGATTATAAATATGATCCAGGAGAGACTTCTTGTATGTAGTAGTTCCTTAAGTGTAACTTCTTTCAGCTTTAGGATGACCACTACAGACTCTTCTGTTCAAAAAAATGAGAAAATATAAAGTATAGAATAACTGCTATACACTGCTGTTCAAAAATGGAAAAAAAAAAAAATAGGAGCCACTGGTTTATGGTATTCTCAACTTCTCCTGGGTAAATGTTGCCAGTTCCTTAAGACTCAAGTCCTGGGAATAGTTCTTCATGGCTTTTGCTTCTGCCTTCTGAGTCATCCTTTTTCATGAATTATAGCTCATGTTTGCAGCTGCATAGATTTCTCAGCCTGTTCCCTGCCTATGGAAGTTTGGAGTGGGGGTTGGTATGCAAACTTCTTTTCATACAAAGATGTATTCCCTTTTAGTCCAAGCAGATAGTGTTTCTGCCAGCATGATTATCTTAAAAATTTTGTTGCCTCCTGTGAGTCATATCGAATTCACTAGATATGTCATACCCGTAAGTCTCTTTGAGATATACTCTTTTTTAACTTGAGCTTCTGCTGGGGCTGCTGAGGAAGAATACCTTTGAGCTTCTTAGGAGATCTGTTGTTTAACTGAATGGTTGTCTGAAGAAACACCTTGAACCTTTCTGAGATCTTAAGATTTTATAGTCACAGCCTTAGCTTCATCTTTAGATGGTACTTTCTTGACACTGCTCTGGATTTTATATTTGCCTGGAAGCCATTGTTAATTTTAGTATGGTATGCCATCTGGAGCAGGAGTTTTTGAAACCAACAAGTTTTGGCTTATTTTTGTTTATCAGTGTTTCCTTTAATTTCTCTCTTCTCTTACATTTTACTGTAAGCAACAAAAAGAAAGCAGGTAGCCCCTTTAGAATCTGCTTTGACATCTCCTTAGTTAGATCTCCCAGTTCATTAGGTATGTTTTCTCCTTTCCATGTTAATCAGGGTGACTTTCTGTCACTATATAACAAGGAATCCATTTTCTCCAGTTTTCAGTAAGATTTTTCTCACTTTTCCTTAAGGTTTTACCTATAGCTTCTGCTGTGACCTGAATGTTGGTGTTCTCCAAAAATTTATATGTTGGAACTTAACCATCATGATGGTATTAAGAGTTGGAGCCTTTAGGAGGTGATTATGTCACAAGGGAGCCTTCATGCATGGGATTAGTGCTCTTACAAAAGAGGCTTCAGGGAGCCATGTGAGGACATAGAAGACACCACGTGTGAGGAATGGGTCCTTAGTAGATAACAAATCTGTTGGTGCCTTGATCCTGGTCTTCCCAGCCTCCAAAACTGTAAGCAATACATTTCTGTTATTTATGAATTACTCAGTTTAAGGTATTTTGTTATAGCAGCCCCAACTGTCTAAGACAGCTTCCTCAAAGGTCATCATACTTCTGCGAAGTTTCTTTGATTTCTAGCTTTTATTCACCGAAAATTCATTCAACTTTCACTTCCTGATTTTAGAGCCACTTCTGCATTTTAAGTTTTGTTACAGCCTCACCCCAGATCCAGGTACCAAAATCTGTATTAGTTATCTATTGATGCAGAATAAATTACCCGGAATTTAGCGCATTAACACAACAAACACTATTTTATGGTTTCTGTGAGTTAATTCTAGAGTGGCTTCCCTGGTGGTTCTGGAGTAAGGTCTCTCGTAAAATCGGAATAAATATGATTGACCAAGCTTGCAGTAATCCAAAGGCTTGACTGGGGCTGGAGAATCTGCTGTCAAATTCATTCATCCAGCTGCTGGCATGAGGCCTCAGTTCTTCACTGTCTTTTGGCCAGAGCTTTCAGTTACCTTGTGGGGCTCTCCATAGGGTTGCTTGAGTGCCTTCCATTATGTGGCAGTTGGCTTGCTCACACTGTGTTTGATCCTACAGAGAGTGAGTGAGTGAATAAGATGAAAGTCACTGTGTGTTGTACGACCTACTCTTAGAAGCACTTCATTCTTTTCACTTTATTCCATTTATTAGAAATGAGTCACCAAATCCAGTCTACACTCATGGCGAGAAATGAGGCTCTACCTCTTGAGGGGAGAATTTGTGGACATGTTTTAAAACTGCGACAGGGATTATACCACTTTCCTGCTTAAAAAACCTTCAGTGGCTTCAAACCACTGCAGAGATTATACCACTTTCCTGTTTAAAAAACCCTTCAGGCCGGGCGCGGTGGCTCAAGCCTGTAATCCCAGCACTTTGGGAGGCCGAGGCGGGTGGATCACGAGGTCAAGAGATCGGGACCATCCTGATCAACATGGTGAAACCCCGTATCTACTAAAAATACAAAACATTAGCTGGGCATCGTGGCGCGTGCCTGTAATCCCAGCTACTCAGGAGGCTGAGGCAGGAGAATTGCCTGAACCCAGGAGGCGGAGGTTGCAATGAGCCGAAATCCCGCCATTGCACTCCAGCCTGGGTAACAAGAGCGAAACTCCGTCTCAAAAAAACAAAAACAAAAACAAAAACAAAAACCCTTCAGTGGCTTACAGTTACTATAAAGATTATATTATCTTCTAGTTTAAAGACCTTTAAGTATCTTCCTGTAATCATGGAATAAAATATAAATTCTTCATTTCAGTTCACAGCCTTGGCTGGGTCCCTGCCCGTCCCATCTCTTGGATATTGGTTTTAACTTGCCCCTGGCCCACTGTGCTTTAGCCACTTCCAGCTTTACCTCATTCCTTGAACAGGACAGGCTCATTCCTAAGGGCTTTTTTTTTCTTCCCTCCAACTGTTTCTTCTCCTTAGAATGCTCTTCATTCTTTGATGTTTGCCGGTCTAACTACTTAGCAATCATTTAGATCTCAGCTTAAATATCACTTTCTCATAGAAGGAACACCAATCAATTTCAGGCAGCTACACAGATACTTTATATTACACTATCCTAACATTTTGCACATAACAGTTAGGTTAAAGTTTATTTTTTGTTTGCCTATTTATGCGATCATTAGGTCTCCCCCACTCCTTCACTAGAATGTAAGCTCATGGGAACATGGACTTTTTCTTTCTTGTCGGTTGTTACTTCATCTTTACCTAGAATTTTATATGGCATATGATAATGTGCAAAAAATATATTTTGTGTAACTGAATTATTGGTATTCTACCATACCAAACCTAATGGGAGCGGGCTTGTCTTAGTCTTGTTTACTGATACATCCTTAGGAACTGGCAAATTTTCAAAATTTGATGAAAAGCAATATTGTAGTTGAGGAAATTTAGAGATTATATTTCCCTAGACCACTTAGCAAGTAATAGTTGAGCCAAGACTCAAATCTAGGTCTTTCTATTAATTCTAAATTATTAATGCCTAAACATACATTTTGCTTGGCACATAGTAGTGCAGAGAGTAAAAGTGATTCTCTTCCTCTTCTTTTAATTCTGTTCCTCTTCTTTTAATATTAGTACATGTACATTGAGCAGTAGTTGGGAATCTGTGTTTTTCTTTTTCTTTCTTTCTTTTTTTGAGATGGGGTCTTGCTCTGTCGCCCAGGCTGGAGTGCAGTGGCACCATCTCAGCTCACTGCAACTTCCGCCACCTGGGTTCAGGCGATTCTCCTGACTCAGCCTCCTGAGTAGCTGGGATTACAGGCACCTGCCACCACACCTGGCTAATTTTTTTTGTAGTTTTAGTAGAGATGGGGTTTCATCATCTTGGCCAGGCTGGTCTCAAACTCCTCACCTCATGATCCACATGTCCTAGCCTCCCAAGGTGCTGGGATTACAGGCATGAGCCACCATGCCTGGCTGGGAATCTATGTTTTTCATACAACATTTCTTTAATAAATATTTTTATGTCAGCATAGTTAATGTACTAGTTTCCTAAGATATTCTGAAGATTTATGTTTGTTTCAGTGAGCTGAAGTTGTCAATGTTTGTTATTTCAGGGCCTGGGATCAAGTGTTAAAACTCTTAGTATTACATTTATTTTGATTGGATGCAACAAAACTTAGCAAAGTGTAAAATATAGATTATAATGCTCATTCCAAAGTATCTAGTTAACTTGGTAAACATGTATGGCACAAGCATTATTTTGTACAACCTGTGCACCATGGTAGGCGACAGAGTGGAATGGAGAGAAAAGCTGTCTCTATTCTCATAGCATCTCAAGTAATAGTAGAGGAAACTAGACCTGAAGTACTTTGGTTTTGTGGCTATAACTATCTATCCTTTCCTGCTTTTCTCCTGTCTTTAAGATTTGTTGAAAGATCTGGAGGGCCTCTGAAACTGTATGTCCCAGATAACTGCATGACCCAAATAACTGCCCTCAGGTGAACTTGGAGTTGTAATTAATGGAAACATTGTCCCGAGGAATGATGTGTGTCAATGATACTGTGCTGCTTGTCTCTGTTGAAACATCCCTATTGATTTAGTCTACTGAACTATCCAGTATGCCAGGCTTAATTTTCTTTCACTTTGTGATACAGCTTTTTTAAAAAAAGGTATTGAGCTAAAAGTTGCTTTTCTTTCATTTTTAGATCACCACACTTATTAATCATAAAGATAAAACCAAAAAGTCTGATAAAACTCTGCAAGCAATTCAGCGTGTAGGACAAGCTGTCAACTTGGCAGTTGGAAGATTTGTTAAAGTAGGAGAAGCAATAGCCAATGAAAACTGGGATTTGAAAGAAGAAATAAATATTGCCTGCATTGAAGCTAAACAAGCAGGTAGGTGAATATTGATTTTGAAGAGTATTCATACCACTGTTATTGCTTTGGTTATTATAAAAAATTATTGTTTTATTTTGAATAAAGATACATAGCTCTCTCATTATGGCTGCCTCAAACATGAAAGGCCTGGATTAGCTTCCACGAATATTACACTTCACTTGGATCAAGTCCTAAATCTGAAACATAGGACTCCTTCATTGGTCAGAGTTAGTGATTTGCAATCCTCACCATCAGCCATTGAGATGTAAGAGAGATAGAGAAGTGGGAGCTGTGACCCTCTATTCTCTAGGAACATATTGGTCTACTTTCCATGACATAGGAAGTGACGTAAGCATCAGTATGTGCTAGTATTCTATAGCAAAAAAATCATAGTGACTTCAAACTTCATGATGGTTCACAATTCTTTTTAGATGGTAGCACAGAAGCCTTTGAGAACCTAGGGTGTTTTGAGGACTACAGCTTTGTTGAAGTTTCATTTATCCATTAATTATTTCAATAAATGTTTACTGAATGTTGGTGATATACCAGACATTCTTTTAGGCCATAGGGAGATAGACATGGATAAATCAGTCCAAAATCTGCCATGATGGGCCTTGCACTCTATTGAGGGAGACAGATCATAAGTGAATAAATGTATAATGTCAGGTGGCGATAGTTACCATGAAAAAAAATAAAGCAAGGTAAGAGTTGGAGGACCCATGAAGGTGCTGTTTTAGAGAAGGCAGGGTTTTTTAACTTTGGTGCTACTGACATCTTGGGCTGGATACTTCTGTGTTGTGGGGGTTGACTTGTGCATTATAGGATGTTTATCAGATCACTAGCTTCTACCTGCTAGATGTGAGAATGTCTCCTCTCCTACCATGTGACAACCAGAAATAGCTCTAGACATTGCCAAATGTCCCTTGAGGGGTAAAAATGGCCCCAGTTGAGAACTCTTGGGATAGGAGATTAGGAAGACCCTCTAAGGAAGGAACATTAGAGCAGAGACTGCAGTGAAGTGAAGGCCTGAGCTATGTGGATACTTGGAGGAAGGGCATTCCTGGCAAGGAGAAAGTGAGAATAGGCAAGGACAGGAATTTAGACTATGTTCTAAGCGTAATGAGGAGTTACTGGGAGATTTTGTCCTGGCGGTGACATGATCTCATTTGTATTTTAAAAAGGCAATTGGTGGTCCTTTATAGAAAATACATTTTAGGGGGTGTGAGGATGGATTCAGAGAAACTAGTTAGGAGGATGTCACAGTGATCAGGTGATAGACGATGGTGACTTAGACTAGGTGATAGCATTTGAGGTAGTGAAAGGTGGCTGTGTTTCCCTATATTGCCAAGGTGGAGCTGATAGAATTGGCCGATGGTTTGGATGTGGGATGTGATAGAAGAGTCAGGATAACTCCCAAGATTTGGGATATGAACAGCTAGGCAAATGGTGGTGCCAACTACTGAGATGGGCAACTCTGAGGGAGCAGCAGGTCATCAGCGGGAAGAGAGCAATTGGGATAAAACCAAGTAAATGTGGAGGGGCAGATAGGTTCATATATGATCCTGTGTGTTATATAGATTATTTCAACTATTCTATACTAGGAGTCATTGAGAAATTTTGAGCCAGATGAAAGACATTGTTTTGTGTTATTTTGTTTTGTTTAGATTTTTCAAGACAAGAAAATTTTACAGATGTTTTGTGTTAGATAGAATTCTTTCTGATAGTATGGAGGAAGTGAACAGATGAGGAAAGCCTGAGAGAATGTTGAGACTGAAGGCAGGGAGATTAATAGAGAAGCTTTGACGGTAAAACCAGCTATGCCAAGTCAGTGTAATAGCTCTTTAAAGAGTCGGAAGAGTACACAGAGAACTCCTTAAGGTGGTCAAATAGGTAAAAAGGAGCTTGTTGACTGAAGGAAAGGTAAGACCCCGGGATGACTCTTGGATTTCTAGCCATTCACTGGGATAGAGAATAAATTTTATGTGGAAAGCCGGGGGGGGATATCCTTATTCTATTCATAATTTACATTTCTCCTACTTTAAAAAAGGATTTGAAAGCGCTTACAATAAAAGACATGTTCAATAAAGTTATTAAAATAAGAGGTAAAAATAAATAAACCAGAAACTTTGGCAAACATTACTGTTTTAATTAAGCATGAAATTTATCTTTGTACTTCCTGGAAGGCAAGACAGAAATGTGGAAAACAAAGGGTTATATAATCTCATTGTTTGTTGAAAGGAAACAAACCAGCTTGTAAGAGGAGAGAGAGACTTTTTTTCCTGACACTAAATTATGTGTGGGTGCTTACGAAACAGACATTACATAATGGACAATTCAACCAAAAATGTAGATATGTTCTTCATATTACTGTTTCTTTTTGCAAGAAAGCTTTGTTGTTAGAAAAAAAGAAATAAAAGAAATTGCTGTTTCTTCTTACAACCATTGATTAAAGCAGGAGTACGGTATTTTTAGATAAAAGGATAACCTGAGTCCTGTACTCCTTGTTGGCCTTGTAGCATGTCATTTGTGATCAGTGTAAGGTGAGAGAGGAGGACGTGGTATACTGACACGAGTACCATACGCCCAGGCAGCTCCATAAATGGAGTATTTTGGAAGCCATTAGGTGTCATGAGCTCCACATGTCATCTTCCTCCTAGTGTCACTCAGGTAAGAGGATGAGAATGATGTCTTCTGGAGTTGTAAAATACAGAAGGCTTTTTTTCTCTTAACACATACAAACTTAAGACTTCATTAAATCACTCCTGAAATGTTTCTAGCCCACTCAACCCCTACGATTCATTTTCTTCTTTTGACAACAGTGTTCATTTGCGGGAGATAATATAAAATAGTAGATAAAGAACTGGAGCTGGCTGGGTGTGGTAGCTCACACCTGTAATCCCAACACTTTGGGAGGCCAAGGTGGGTGGATCGCTTGAGCTGTGTTTGAGACCAACCTGGGCAACATAGTGAGACCTTGTCTCTAAAAGACATAAGAAAAAAAAATTAGCCAGGTGTGGGGATCTATGCCTGCAGTCCCAGTTACTCAGGAGGCTAAGATGGGAGGATTGTTTGAGCCCAGGGAAGTTGAATTTGCAGTAAGTGGTAATGGTGCCACTACACTCCAGCCTGGGAGATGACAGAGTGAGACCATGTCTAAAAAAAAAAAAAAAAAGCAACTAGAGTTTTAGAGTCAGACTCCCTGGATTTTAATCCCAGTGCTTCTATTTGCTAGCAGGAGATATTGAGCAATCTGTTAAACATTTCTAAGGCTCGGTGTTCTCATCTGTAAAGTGGGACTGTGGCCAGGCACAGTGGCTATGCCTATAATCCCAGCACTTTGGGAGGCTGAGGTGAGCAGATCATGAGGTCAGGAGACCATCCTGGCTAACACAGTGAAACCCATCTCTACTAAAAATACAAAAAATTAGCCGGGCGTGGTAGCACATGCCTGTATTCCTAGCTACTTGGGAGACTGAGGCAGGAGAATCTCTTGAACACAGGAGGCAGAGATTGCAGTGAGCCGAGATCACGCCACTGCACTCCAGACTGGGCGACAGAGTGCGACTCCATCTCAAAAAAACAAAAAAATAAGGCTGGGGATGGTGGCTCATGTCTGTAATCCCAGCACTTTGGGAGGCTAAGGCAGGTGAATCACAAGGTCAGGAGTTAGAGACCAGCCTGGCCAACATGGTGAAACCCTGCCTCTACTAAAAATATAAAAAATTAACTGGGCATGGTGGCAGGCACCTGTAATCCCAGCTACTTGGGAGGCTAAGACAGGACAATTGCTTGAACCCAGGAGGTGGAGGTTGCAGTGAGCTAAGATCGCGCCACTGCACTCCAGCCCAGGTGACAGAGTGAGATGCCGTCTAAAAAAAGTAATAAAACAAAAATAAATAAATAAATAAAATGGGACTGTTAGGGTTTATAGAGGTGTGTTTATATAATGCATATATCATTTCACACATACTAAGTGTGCAATAAATATTAACTGTCAGTATAAGAATTAATTTTTACTCTTACTTCCCTGTGTTGAACTCTTACATTATATTGTTACTTTTTACTTGGCTACCAGGCAAGGTTTATATTTATGTTTCATATGGAAGCTCAATAAGTATTTGTGTTTGATTGACCTTAGGTTTTCCTGTTAAGACATAACACTAGTAATTACATATAATAAATTAAAAATGATAACCATGAATCTGTAAGACAGCTTTGTGACTTTTTCAGGGAACTGATTTCTGAACAGTTTACACTTTGAACAACTTTATAATGTTAAGGAAGCATTTGACCATGTTGGTGGAGCTGACCAAATGTTACTATCCCACATACTTAGGAGTTAAATGCCTGGGGTTTAGTCAGAAAAAGGAAAGGTTGAATAATGCCATATGTTCTGGCTTATATGTGGTATCTTTTGTGGTTGAGAAGTATAGAAAAAAATTAACATTTTCCAGAGAATCAGAGAAAACATGTTTATCCTTTTAGCTGTTAATGATAGCATGCAAACTGATACTTTTCCTCCTGCCCCTTCTGTATACCTTACGGTTAATTCTAAGCACTTTGTTCTCTGTATATTTTGCTATCAAAACTTTGTATTAGTTACCTATTTCTGTGTAACAAATTAACCCAAACTTAGCAACTTAAAACCACAGACATTTACTATCTCACACAGTTTTTGAGGGGTACCAGTCAGGGGTCTTAACTGGGTGGCTCTGAGTCAGTGTGTCTCATGAGATGGTGGTTAGTGTGTTGACCAGGTCTCTGTTACCTGAAAGCTTGACTGGACTACAGGTCTGCTTCCAGGCTCTCTCTCATGGTTGTTGGCAGGCTTCACTTCCTTGCTGGCTGTTGGCCAGAGGCCTAACTTCCTCTCTGCATAGGTCTCTCTGTAGTAAGGGCTGCTTATGACATGGCTGGTGGCTTCTCTCAGAGAGAGAGAGAGAGCAACCCAGAAAGCTGCCTCAGTCATTTTAGAACCTAACCTTGGAAATGACATACCATCACTTCAACCATACCAACCCTGGTGTGATGTGGGAGGGGACGGCACAAGATTGTGAATACCAGTAGGCGGGGATCATGGGGATCTATTGTGAAGTCTGGCTACCATAGACTTCCTCTATCAGTAGAGCTTCAGCTATTGTCATTATACACAAGACATCCAAGTCTGCATTAGCAGTCCATATCTTGTGGCTTATCTTTTGTATATTCCTGTGTTATTTCAAAATCCTATTGTCTGAAAGTAAAATTATCATTTCCCTTCCAATGCCCTTCTGATTTTCTTTAAGCAACTTAGGTTTAAAACTTTGAAGCCATTTTTTCACTCTTTCTTTCCTTCTTATCATTGATCAGGTACTAATTTTATGTTTTCTCAGTGTCTCCCAAATCATCTTCTTAATGTTCCTATGGCTGCTATGCTAGTAAAGTCCCTACTATTTCACACCCACAATTGATATGATTGCCTGGCTCTAAGTCTTTCCTTTCCATTCTATTTTATGTACTCCTGCTACTCCTACTAGACTGATTTTTCTTTCTTTCTTTTTTTTCTTCTTTGAGACCAAGTCTCACTCTGTTACACAGGCTGGAATGCAGTGGTGCAATCTTGGCTCACTGCAGCCTCCGCTTCCCAGGTCCAAGTGATTCTCTGCCTTGAGTAGCTGGGATTACAGGCCCCCGCCACCATGCCTAACTAATTTTTGTATTTTTTTAGTAGAAACAGGGTTTCGCCATGTTGACCAGGATGGTCTTGAACTCCTGACCTCACGTGATCCGCCCAACTTGGCCTCCCAAAGTGCTAGGATTACAGGCATTGAGGCACTGTGCCTGCCAGACTAATCTTTCTAAACCTTGACTTATATCATGTTTCACCCTGTGTCCTCTCCATTAAGATTCCAATCCTTTTTACTCAAGATCCTTAAGCCTGTGAGCTGACACATTATTGTGTGTCTGTAACAGAATTGACAGGAGGGCTTTTGTAAGAAAATCATTACATTATGCACACAGGTATATTTAGGACTTTAAAAAATGATCTTGAACACTATAAGTTGATTAAAGGTTTATTTTAAAACTCTGTTTAACTTGAACAAGTATGGAGGTTTAAAGAATATTATAGCCTGGTTCTTCTTTGAGGAGGCAAACACTTGTATTGTTTTAGATAATTACCATTACAGAAATCAAAAGTTTTGATAGGAACAGTGAAGAAGATAATTTTTCTAGAGGGTTGGGAGTTCAATTAATAGAATGGTTTGTGCTGGGCTTCATAAGAAATTTATATAAATTCAAACCGCAGCCTGAATGAGGGCCAGCCTGTGGTTTGAATTCTCAGGAGGGGTGCTTTTGTTTTGTTTACTTTCCCCACCCAGAGTCCAGGCTGACAGATAAATGAACTTCCTTATTGTTTCTTTTTGCCTGTTGACAGTTCTTTCCAGGTCCCCTTTGTATTGAAGATGTCATCCCTTGGGGCCCAAAGCCCTATCTTTCTTCTCTCCCTGAGGATCCCTGAAAACCCAAGCCCCTTCAGCTTGTGGAGATCGGCAGTGACCCCTGACTTCTCCCGGGCCTGGCCCCAGCCTAAACCTTGGCACCTGCTTACTGCTCTGGTTTTAGGTATTTGGTTTTTGACTCCTGGGACTTTTCTTACAGTCTTGTAGGGCAGGAGGCTTTTAGATTGTGTAGTTTGCATTACCACTGGAAACAAAAATTATAATGTTTTTCAAACTGAGCGAAGGCAAAATTTGTCACAGTTCTTAAGAATGTGGTATTATTTTCTGGTTAGAAAGTTTCGTATGATAATCTCTACAATCGTCAAGATGAAACCATTTCTTGTTCCTGAAGTAGGTCTCCAAAGCTGAGTTTTTCCTCATTGTGCCTTACCTTCAAGGTTAGAGAGAAGTCTAGATTTGAATTTGTGTGTCTTACTGCCAGTTTAACTTTACCCGCTTGCCTTTCTTGTTAGGAGAAACAATTGCAGCACTTACAGACATAACCAACTCGAACCATGCGGAATCTGATGGCCAGATCACCATTTTTACAGACAAAACAGGAGTTATAAAGGCTGCAAGATTACTTCTTTCTTCAGTGACAAAGGTGTTGTTGTTGGCAGACCGAGTAGTAATTAAACAGATAATAACATCAAGAAATAAGGTACTTAACTTTCTGGTGTTGCTATATTTTTGTCTTTCTGTGTTGTTCAAAGTGCGTTTTATGATTCTTAGCAATAGATCACTTGGCTCATGCATTGATGAAGAATGCAGCTAGCTGTGAGAATTAATGTGAATTGGAGGACACATTGATTATCTACTCCTTAAATGTCTTGTGGCCCTAGCTTCCTCCCAGGGCTATGCCTGTCTGAGTATCACATTAAAAAAAGAAAAAAAAAGTTTCTTTTTTGGGTAATTGTAAGTACTTTGGAAATGCTTATCTATTATAATTGTTTATAATTTTGTCTATAAAGTAGTGTTTCTTCTATATGTGTACTTCTTAAATGATGGATATACTGTGCCTAAACTTTTGAATGCAAGTAATGTCTCTTCTTAGAAAATCATTTTCCACTTGTTGAGGCTTATTGTTAAAAGCTTTAAATGTGTACAGCAGTTGGAAAGAAAAGGCGAGCACCATGATAATATATGTAACAGAAACCTAGTTGATAAAAATGCTGAATTCTTCAGTACTTTATTTCCCTCCCAAATCAGAGACTAACAATATATAACTTAAGACACAGTTAACTCAGTGGAAATAATAATTATCCACAGCTATGAAATTTCTGTGTGCAAAGTTCCTAAATGTTACTGAATAATCTCAAAACTTACAGAATGGATTTAAACTCTTCCAGTCCAGAAGTTAATCTCTCAGGTGATAGTGATGCTTTTTGATCATCTGGGAATTTAGGGTACGTAAGATCACTTCGTTCTATGGATAATTCCCTAGGCAAACAGGAGGACAGTTGGCCAGGGAAGGGGTTATCCTAATAGGATTCGAGGATAAAACCACCTAATGAGTGTTGAATGAATCAGAATTGGAGAGGTGGATCTGGCAGCACTGGAGAAATAGAAACAAACTTCCTCTCTTTGAAAGATGGAGGTTCTGCACAGTGGTGGCAATGTGCCTTCTCTGTGTTAGTCGCCTGAACTTCCTGAGCTGCCAGGGCAGATTAACATGCCAAATATTCATCATATTCTCATTAAAAATAAGTCAACACAGGATATCTATGTTTTTTTTAACCTGTCTTGTTCTGACTAAAACAATCTGGTATTGTTATTTTAAAGAAAGTATTTGAAAATATGTTTCACATCTATTTACCTTATTTCTTACATCAAGAAAACACATAACATTTTAGTTATTGGCTCTACCACAGATTCACACTCTTTATTCACCCCTGATGGCTCATTCCTGACTGAGCCAGACTATTTTCCTCCTCTTAAAGTCCCATACCTCCCTTTCAACTCCTTACTCTGCAGATGATGAGGTTCCTGCTGCTTTCCTGAGAATGGTAGGGTTCCTGTCATCCTGGTTCACTGAGCCTTAAAGCTTGCTGTCTTTCATCTTCACCCCTTCCCAGTTCTCTGAATATTTGATTACTATAGTCCTGCCCATTCCTACCTTCTAGACTTGGCTACAGAAATGATCCCTTCCTTTGTATATTTAGTCATTTCTTTTATTCTTTTTCCTTTTCCTTTTCAAGTAACTCCAAATCTCATCCTATAAACAAATCATTCCCCTAATAATTCTGTGCCTTGAATCTACTTCTATTTCTCTGAGCATCTCCTTCTCTGTCTTCAATCTGGCTCCTCCTTCTCAGTTTTCACCTAGAATTCAGAATTTTCTTTTTTTTTTTTTTCTGCTCAGCCTTGACAATCTCAGTCTGTTTCATAGCTATCACCCAATAAAGAAATATTCTCTGTTTTGCAGGTTCTTGCAACTATGGAAAGACTGGAGAAAGTGACTAGCTTCCAAGAGTTTGTCCAAATATTCAGTCAATTTGGAAATGAAATGGTGGAGTTTGCACATCTGAGTGGAGATAGACAAAATGTATGTATTCACCACATTTTACAGTTTTCAGATAAATACATGCTTTTTAGTTTAGATGGAGGTTTGATCTTTAGGATCATTTGGATTGGTTTCTTTGCTTATTATATCTATAGCCTTGGTCTTGAAAGCCTTTCATAAATAAGCTAGGATAAAATAAGTAGATCTGTATGTCTTTTTTTGTACATGTATAACAGTTAATTTTGTTCCCACCTCACACACTGGGAAAGGTCATACTTGCCTTCAGGGATCAACTCAAGTACTTCCTCTTTTTATTTCTTTTTATTTGGTTACTTCCTCTTTTATGAAGCTTTCCATTTGATTCCTCTACCAGGGCTCAGACACATAAAATTGAGCCATCATATGTATTCTTATAGTATCTTGTTAGATATCTGCTTTACTTACCATATTAGATTAATAGTAATAAGCCAAACCATTATTTATTAGCACTGCCTATGCATTAGGTACTTAATATACATGATCTCATTTAATTCTCGAAACATCCCTATGAGATAAGTATTATTACTACTGTTTTATGTATAAAGAAACTAAATCTGAGACAAAGATAAACTTTCCCAAGGTCACTAGACTGGCAGATTGAACTCAGTTATATCTGATTCTAAAGCCTGTAGTTCTCAAACTACAACATGATATTAGGGTTGTTTTGTTTTGTTTTGTTTTTGATGTGGAGTCTCGCTCTGTAACCTGGGCTGGAGTGTAGTGTCGTGATTTTGGCTCACTGCAACCTCTGCCTCCTGGGTTCAAGTGATTCTCCTTCCTCAGCCTTCCAAGTAGCTGGAACTACAGGCATGTGCCACCATACCTGGCTAACTTTTTGTGTTTTTGGTAGAGATGGGGTTTCACCATGTTGGCCTGGGTGGTCTCAAACTCCTAATCTCAGGTGATCTGCCTTCCTCAGTCTCCCAAAGAGCTGGGGTTATAGGCATGAGCCATCGCGCCCAGCCAATATTAGTTCTTTATGGGTCTGTTCCTCAATTCAGACAATAAGTTCCTCAGTTTTGGGAGACAGAAGATTATATTATATCCAGGATTGACTTTTCCTTGTTGGGGTATTTGTATAGGAGTCTGTCTTGTCAGCAGGTTAAATATAAATAATAATTGACCATTTCTTGAGATGCTTCTGGGTATAATCCCATAGGCTATTCTCTCAGTTTTTGATGTAAACTTTCCCGATTGCAGCTGGAGTTGAAAGATGGATATTGGTCTGGAAAGTGGCAGGCTAAATAATGGCACTGGTTTCTAATACTAATGATGTTTCTATAGGTAGATACCTTATTGTTTCATTTTCTGTCTGCCAGTATTGTTCTTTATAAATCAAATTTTCTTTCTTTTCCTTCTCTTTTTGTTTCTCTTAGTCTTCCTTCTTCTCTTCATTCTCCCCAATGAAAATTATTAGCTTGAGTATTTTTATAATAATAATAGCTTATCGTCTGGCATTTTCTTGACCTCTTGAGTATGTATGGCATGAGTCATAGGTTCTAAAGCCACCATCCTTCAGTTATGCTTCCTGCAGGATCCTCTTCAGCCGCTGTAGGTAACTGAAAAACTTTTACCACGATTTGGATTTGTAGTTACAAATTTGGCATGGAGAATATTTTGTTTTTCTCAATTCTTGTAATATTGTGATCCAAATATTTAAAAACTTTTGGCAGAAGAGGTGTCTATTTTTAAAAATTTAGCTCATTAGATGTAGGACCCCAGAAACTTACTGGCATCCTTTTTATCATCTTTGTGTTTGATAGGTGCTACTCCTGGGTCATTTTTATGAAATATGCACCTAGGGTTCAAATGCTTTCTCCCTTAGAATAGTCCAAATATCCTGCAAATAGCTATAGATCAGGGGCATTCTCAGTTTTCTCAGCACATATTCATCAGCTGCTTACTGTTAACCAAATACTACACTAGATGTTGGGGAATCAACAGTAAATACAAGAGACAAAAATCTCTGCACTCATGGAGTTTATGTTTTAGTAGGGGTGGGAAGAGATAGACAATAAAACAGAAACATGCATGGTGTGTTCAAAGAACACAAAGACCAGTGGATGGATCAAAGTGAGCAAAGGGGAAGGGTACAAAGATGAAATCAGAGAGATAGTAGGCAGGCCAAACTGTGTAAGGACTTTGGCTTTAAGTAAAATGGAGAGCCATTGGAGGTTTTGAGTAGGAGAATGACATTTTCTGACTTACATGTTAACAGTATCACTCTAGCTGTCATGTTGAGAATAGTTTGCATGGAGACAAGGGCAGAGGCAGGGAGACCACTCAAGAGGCTATTACAGTAATCTCTTGAGAGATGATCTTGACCTGGGCCAAGGTGTAGAAAGTGGCAGTGGTAAGGCCAGGCATGGTGGCTCATGCCTGTAATCCGAGCACTTTGGGAGGCTAAGGTGTGCAGATCATCTGAGGTCAGGAGTTTGAGACCAGCCTGGCCATCATGGTGAAACCCCGTCTCTTCTAAAAATATGGAAATTAGCTGGGTGTGGTGGCGCACGCCTGTAATTCCAGCTACTCAGGAGGCTGAGACAGGAGAATTGCTTGAGCCCAGAAAGCAGAGGCTGCAGTGAGCCAAGGTCACACCACTGTACTCGAGCTTGGGCAAGGGAGGGAGACAGACTCTGTCTCAAAAAGAAAAAAAAGTAACAGTGGTGAGAACCTTACCTGGGAAAAACTTTTGGATGTATTGGGATGCTTTGCTTAGTGCTTCATAGACCATATGGATTTTATGGACACCTCTGTTTTGTCCTGTGGACCAGCCTTTTCCAGGTTGAGATGCCATCTTTTTCTGTCACTTGTTATCACTCACCATACAGCATTTGATGTCAATGTGGCTTAAAAGTATTAAGTATGGCATATACACTTGATGCGTTGTCAGCTAGACCCACAGGTGGTTTTAGGAGTCCTGTCCAAAATGTTAAAGACAAGAGGAATGTACGGAAAATGTAGAAGCAGCCTCCACCTTTATTTGATAGGTACCCATGATGGATGATACTCACATATAGGATATAGTTCTTTGGGATGTGATCTGCATTAGCTTTGGGATTATATGCACTTTGTCATACACTATTTGTAATTCCATCTCTATCTGTTATTAAATTTATATTGGGATGCAAGTGAGTGAGAGTGATATTATTGTAGGACTAACTTCTGAATCCAACCTAATTTATTCAAGCAAATTTACTTTCAAAGGCAATTCATTCTCAAGCTTTAGGTTTTTCTTATTTGTAAGAAAGGGCTTTTAATCTAACTTATAAATAAAAAAGACTAATATGACAGGGAAAAATTTTATGTAATTCAAATTTCAATGTCCATAAGTAAAGTTTTATTGGAGCACAGCCGTTCTTATTTATTTATGTATTGTCTATGTTTGCTTTCACACTACAATGGCAGAATTGAGTAGCTCTGATGGAGACTATATAGCTCAAAAGGCCTAAAATGTTTATCTGGGCTTTAATTTAAAGTGTTGCCTACCACTGATTTAGATGTAATAACCAAATTATTAATAGAGTATTTTGTTATAGATTTGATCAGCAAACTTTGGATACCTCATATAATAGCACACATTCTATTGAGGGCTCTGTGAGGAGAAGCTACCCCTGACCAAAAAAAATTCAGTACACAGTACTTTCTTAAGTGTTCCTAATCAGTCTTGTTGGGGAAAATTATCTACCCAAGAAACATCTTAAGAATATATTACAGCAACATACTGCTTAAGATTAAGACAGACAAACTCCACTTTGAGATGGGTAAGCAGTTAGATGGGATTAATTAGACGAGGTTTCTTAGAGAATTGACTTTTAAGTGTCTGTTTTGAAGGAAATAATAGTAGATGCTCAGTAAACAATTACTTTTAATTAAGTAGGACATAGGCTGGGTGTTTCTTGTTAGGAGTGCCGTGTATGCACTTGGCATGAGAATGTTAGGTGTGGCAGGGCACCAGAATGTCAACCATGTGCAGCCTCTACTTCGTCTCAGTCCCTGGCTCTGTAGTCCTTACCAAGAGTAGCCTTTTCTTTCTACTCATATTGTGTTGATGCATTTATATTGAAGCAGTGACAGTTTGTAAAACTTTATCCTGTTTTTTTTTTTCACTTAACATTATTGAATTTTTGAGTATTATTGTTGAATAAATACTTTTTTTAAGAAATTGGATTGTTTACATGATCTTAGATTTCTCTGTGATTTTATTTCATATTTAGGATTTGAAAGATGAAAAGAAAAAGGCAAAAATGGCAGCAGCTAGAGCAGTTCTTGAAAAGTGTACGATGATGCTTCTCACAGCTTCAAAGGTAAGAATTTTTGTTTTACTGTGTAATAAATTAATAATTAGAAAACCTGACTAAATGCATTTTACTTAGGTGATTTACATTTTAAAAAAGATCAAAGTGATAACTTAGAACATAGGCTTGAATAGTTAAATCACAGTTATTATTTATAAGAATGCTAACTTTCTTCCCCGCCTCCACATAACAATTAATTTATGAGTCAGCTTTGATTGAACAACTCAGCAGAACATGGTATATTAGGTGCTATGAATTAAGGCCTGTCACACTCGGTCACTGCTTGCAGGGTTTTGCCACTCTTATTGAGGAGCTAGCACACGTGCTGTAGAAAAATCTAGGCAAGTTAAGATCTGTTAAGTATAGTGGAGTAAGAAGTCAGCCCTTAGTTTATTCTGTAAATTAATCCTTTAGTTCCCTTTTCTACTTTTAACAAAATTGTCAATCAAGAGCTTGTATTTCCAAACAGCAATTGGCTAGCAAATTGGTGCAATTCTAGAATGAATGAGTAAAATGTCTCATTAGCAGTTTGTTTAGAATAACCTTTTCTTCTGAGAGTATTTACCCTGTGCTAGAAGCAGGGAAGCCACAAAAAACAGAGTCTTTGTGGAACCCACTCAAAAGGCTCTATTTTGTCTAGGCCCTTGAGTTTTTCATTTACATCATTTTTTAAAAGTCAGGATGCATCCATGATCATATTTCATCTCTGTTCATTTTTTTTCATTCTTTTTTATTTCTTGCATGTGTAAGGCAACATTTTAAAATAGTTTTAATCATGATGAAGAGAGAGAATTTTTCCCAAAAAAATTTTTAAGTAAACTTATTATTGAAGTATAAAGGTATAGTTTTGCACTCTGCATTTTTTATTTAACCTTGCTATCGCTTTTTACTCATCCTGCTTCCACTTTAGTGAGGAGAAGCAGCTGAGTGAGCGAGGGACCCAGGAGATTTTGGTAAAGAACCATTTTTCTTAGCATGACATGTTCTCTGTAAGATTTTTATGTGTTATGACATAAATCAAATATTAAAATAAAAATTTTCAATTGTTTTGAAGACATGTCTGAGGCATCCCAACTGCGAATCAGCCCATAAAAACAAAGAAGGAGTATTTGTCCGCATGAAAGTGGCATTGGATAAGGTCATTGAAATTGTGACTGACTGTAAATCAAATGGAGAGACTGACATTTCATCTATTAATATTTTTACTGGAATTAAGGAATTCAAGGTAAGAATAAAGAGACTATATTTTGACTTTTTTCTTTTCATTTTATTTTATTTTAATTTTTTTAGATGGAGTCTTGCTCTGTCACCCAAGCTGGAGTGCAGTGGTGTAATCTCTGCTCACAGCAACCTCTCCCTCCTGGGTTTAAGTGATTTTTGTGCCTCAGAATTCCCAGAGGCTGGGACTACAGGCACGTGCTACCACACTTGGCTAAGTTTTGTATTTTTGGTAGATGGGATTTCACCATGTTGGCCAGGCTGGTCTCAAACTCCTGACTTCAGGTGATCTGCCCACTTGGGCCTCCCAAAGTGCTGCAATTACAGGAATGAGCCACTGCACCAAGTCTTTTCTCTTTTAAAGGAGCATAATTATGTATAGTATCCATATTTTTGTGTAATGTCTTAGAACGATGCTTCACAAAAGCAGATATATCTATTTAAAGCAATGCCACTCTGTACAAACCTGTTGCTCAGTAATATTTAGCTTAGAGTTGTATTTACAAAGAACACTAGTCTTTGTTATAGTAGCTGTTCTGGCCCTGTTTAGCTGTGTGGTTTAGCCGTAGACTCCTGTTTAAAAGAATGTTCCCGTCCAATTTTTTTGAGCAGTGCATACCATCCAGAGGATGATGGCAAGCAACAAATCATTTCTGCTAGAATTCCTGCTCTTCTTTGCATTAGAGGGTTGATACTTTGAGACTATAGTAATAGTATTAACAATTATTAAAATTTAAATACAAACAGTAATACTAACAGTTATTGAGTTCTTACTCTGTGCCAACCCTTTTCTGAGTGCTTTAAATATATGAACTTATATAATCCTAAAAAAAAAACTATTGCTATTATCTCCATTACACTGTTGAGGAGCTTAAGAAACAGAGAGGAGATTAACTTGCTGGCCAGTAAGTACCAGAATTGGGATTTGAAACTAGGCAGTGTGACTCCAGGAAGTCTGACATCTTATCAGAAGTCGGAGACATGGTGAAGATGCTTTTCGGGTAAGAGCAGTGTCTGAGTTGCGAGGGCCCTGAGAAGTCATCTAATACAATGCCCTCCTTTACCCGATCAGAAAACTTAAGTGCTAAAGGTTCCCACGTCTCTAATGGACAGGGCTGTGATGAGAATGGCATTCTTTCCGTTTTATTGCACTTTGATTTCTAATTGTATAAAGGGCTAAGTAGGAACATGGGGTGAAAGATAGTCATGGAAAGAATTTCTCTTTTTGCTCTTAATAAATATTTTATTTAATCCCTACCTGACCTTTAGGTGGATATAATTATATACTGGTTTTGTTTTGTTTTGTTTCTGAGGAGGAGAGCTAGTAAATGGTAGAACCTTTCTTTAGGCCCAGGATTCTCTAATCCCAAAGTCCATGACCTTTCACTTTACACATCTGGGTTTGTTTATATGATGCCAGTTCTACCCCTGAGTCTTCCTGAGGGAAAAGAAGCTGCAGGGATCAAACCTTCCCTTAGAAATTTTATTGCTAAAAGGGATCTTAGAGATTATTTTTCTAATCCTCTCTTTTTATAAATGCTGAGGGAGGAGATGTGTTGTCAAAGGATAATTAGGGAACAGGAAGGGTGAGAGACATCTTTTGCCTCTTGCTGCTGCATTTCTGGTGCAGGTGAAAGAGGAGCGTGCTCTGCCTGTGGCTGCTGCTGGCTGCTGTGGCTGCTGCCCTCTCACTGGCGTCCTGGAGGCAGAGCTGTTATAAATAGGCTCATTCTCACTGTCTGTGATTATCTCTTTGGCATCTTACTTTTTTTTTTTTCTGATGGAGAGTATAATCTGTGGAGGGAAACTGGATACTTTGCTGTATTTGGTGCTATGAATATGTGGACAAATGTTTTGAAACCGTTATCAATAAACAGCCTTCAAAAAAAACCCCACAAAACACCAGTAAGTTGCTGTCTAAAAACATGTATATTTTCTCCTAAAGGGAAAATAAAAAACCTTAACATAAATGGTATGTGGTCAATATGACTGATTTTTATGTTTTAATTCTGTTTAAATTCTTAAATTATCGGATCCCCATTATAAATTCCATACCTTTTTATTATCCATATTCTTTCCTAGCTTAAATATAAGTTTCTATGTACCTAGGCTGGAGTGATCACCTAAAAACTTAGGCCAAGAGGAGGAGGAGAAGCAAGGACTCTTCTATGGCGTCTTGACCTTCCCAAACTTTGGTATTCTCATGGATCATGTTAAAATGGGTCACACATAAGGATTAATTAAAATAACTTGTGAAAGGACTTTAAAGTATTAAACAAATGTAAGCTATCCTTATCATCACATTCATTGTGACCATAATCATGATTATTACCGTTTGTTGCCTCTTGGTCCAAGTTGTCTGTGTGACATATTTCATGCACTGTAGAGTTTTATATGGTTGAAATGGGGTGGTGCATTTAGAAAGCTGAGAGAGAAAGACTGCACATGTGAACATGTGTTCATCATGTAGTCAAGAGTCACAACTCCAAACAGGGTGGCTGGAATGAAAGGTTATTACGGGATTCAGGGGGTGAGATAGACTGTTAGAGGGGTATATAAAGACAGGCCATAGAGGATTTTGTGCTATGCCAGAGAAGTTTGGGCTTGATTCTCTATAGATGGTGAGGAGCTATTAGAGGGAGGTGGCAGTATCAGACGCTGGTAGAGCATGTTTGGGTCAGTAAGGTGCTATTGGGGACTTAAAACAAAATATAGGGAGACCAGTTAGGTGACGAGGAGAGTCTCTGTTGAACTAATGAAGGAAAAATGGATGCCTTCCCCAGGCCTTCTCACACCCCACATCTTCCACACCATCCTTCCCCCTGGGCTCAGCACATTTCATATTTGGGTGTAACATATCTTCCAGGACTTTGCCTAGGCATTTTCTCAGATGCAAATCTTTTACCTGGAGGCTGGTTCATTTTTCCTACTGGTTGCTACAGGATGATCCTCTTTCTGCCTTAGTATTCACTGATCTTATAGGAATGTCATTGTATTAATTACTCTAGGAATTATGCTTTGCATGGTTATTGAAGGCTTTTGTGCAATGTGTCTACCTAGGTTAGTGGACAATATAGATATCTTTGGTGGCTGTATTTCTCCTCAGCTTGGGAAATAAAATGCTAGTGTCTTCTTTGGCACTGTTAGAAATTACAGCCCATTTTGGTCAGGTGGAAATATTGACTCCCATGGATGGATGGATGTCCTTTTTGTTTTCAGATGAATATTGAAGCTCTTCGGGAGAATCTTTATTTTCAGTCCAAAGAGAACCTTTCTATGACATTGGAAGTCATCTTGGAGCGTACAGAGGACTTTACTGATTCTGCCTACACCAGCCATGAGCACAGGGAACGCATCTTGGAACTGTCAACTCAAGCGAGAATGGAACTGCAGCAGTTAGTTTCTGTGTGGATTCAAGCTGTAAGAACTTTTTTAAAAATCAAAGTAAATCTTACATAGTGGCTTTCCCATAAAGTTTTGCAAGATACGGAAGCTAACATAATCATCAGGAGTATAAATTTGTTCCAGAATGGGACAGGATGTTTCATCCCTTTTCTCCCTCCTAGTTGGCCAAAATATCCTTCTCATCTAGCACTCACAGTACTTGGCATTATTTCTAGGCCTGCTGATTCTCATTCTAGCCAGTCTGGATCTATGCCCCTGCCACTATCACTAGTTCATTCTGTTGTCCCCACTTTTCCACCAAACTGACCTCTGGAAAATTCCTCCCCAAAATGCTTCTTCAGAGTGAAGAACAGAGGAGTAGACCCCCACTTAGAGGTTCTTGGGACCTGAGTCTGACTGCTGGAGCCATTCAGATGTACACAGTTCTTACCTCTGAAGACAGCTGATTTATAGACACAATGCTTTAGAAAACTTATTGGGGTATAGATGCAATGAAAACAAGGGTAGATCCAGCTGGCAGGTAAAAGATTTTTCACCCTTGCACAAATTCCTGGTCTGAAATTGGTGGGTGGCTGCTCTGTGAGCTTTAAATGGGCTGCTGGTGTGCTTCAAACAGAGGAGGTTATTTGGGCAAGAATGGCCAAGACTGATAGAAGAGGGACAGCATAGGAAGTGTGTACACATCTCTTACAGCAGGTGGATTGCAAAATGGAGAGACAGAGCACTGGGACATGTCTCTAGCATTATTTATTTCTTAGGCCCGAGCTATGTCAAAAAAGTATTTAACATGGCGTACAGTATGCAGCAGCAATAGTACAAACCTGGAAGCCTTGTCTTTAGCAGTAAAGACGATGAAGGAGGGTGGATATGGCTGAGACTGAAAAAAGAAGCGGCAGTTGATTTCCTTGTAAATAGATTAATTTATGAATGAAAACAAATGTGAATCACAGATTTGTCAGATATTTTCTTGGCATCACAATAGTGCACATGTTCATATTAACAGGGAATCTTGCCCTAGAGTGATGTGAGAGACTTGAGCAACATTTTGTGTTTAGTTTGAATTATCTGTGTGATATACAATCTGAAGTGTAGATTGCTTCAGTGTTAAATTTTAAGTCCAACACTCACTATAAAGAGTTGTTTGTGATGAAATACTCTATGCTGGGAATATGATTCTATCAATACTCAAATTTGCAATTAGCAAATGTCATGAATTTAGCAAATTTACCCTGTGCATATTTCACAAGCACTCAAATCTCTGATCCTGCATACTAGATGAATTTTTCATTCATTCATTTTTTTTCAGCAGTTCTTTCTGGTGCCTTTTATATGCCAAGCACCAGAAATCTAAAGATGAATAAGGTAAAGTCTTTGTCTTCCAAGAATTTTACGATATAGAAACCTGTGGGAAGGGGTGAAACAAGTACAAACAACTTTGTAAATATCTTAAGAGAAGGTGTAGACTATGCATAGAGAGGGTTTGAAGGACAAATTTATATTTAGGGAAAGGACTCAAGAAGGCTTCATGAAGTATTGATATTTAATTTTTATGTATTCATGCAAAGAATTGAATATCTACTACCTACCATTTCCTGTGCCAGGTACTGTGGATTTAGTGGTGTGCAACATAGATATGAACTCAGCTTTTGTGGCCTAGTGGGGAAGATAGACTTTAAAGAAACAAAAAATAAAAAATTCCCAGATGGTTTGGACTGAAAAAAAAAATATGTAATTGCAAGCTGGGATAATTACTGAGAGAAAAGATTAGAGTAAGAAGAGGGTCTGATTTAGATTGAGTGATTTGAAAAAGCCTTTCTAAGAAAAAGACATTTATGTAAGATCTTAAAGACAAGTAAGATTTTAATTTTTAACTAGGTTAGGAGTGAAAGCATGGACATTCTAGGCCGAAATAAAAGATTAATTTTAGACTTGATGAATGTATTGAGGAAAATGAAATAGAAAATTAGATTTTAAAAGTTTACCTTTCAATACAATCCATAGGTTCACAGAAAAGCAAAAAAAAAGTTCACCTATTTGTAATTAGCACTGAAGAATATAACTAAACTGAAACTTTATTTTCCACTGTAACTTTAACCAGGAAAATTTTAAAACTCTGCTTTTATAGTTCACATAATAATATTAAAATTTATTACAATTTATAGTTCAAGTAAAATTGGAATTAACAGATTAAAGAGATGCGGTAACATTATATATATACTTTTAAAAATTTTTAGCAAAGCAAGAAAACAAAAAGCATTGCTGAAGAACTGGAACTCAGTATACTGAAAATCAGTTACAGTCTTAATGAACTTAAGAAAGAGGTAAGTATAGTAGCCTCTTCTAATTATCTGCTAATTTTCATGTTGTATGGGTATATGAAATGCATTAATATTAGTATGTCTCTGTGCCTAGAAAATGATTTTTAAAGTTTAAAAGTTTCTGGTGGCTCATGCCTGTGATTCCAGCACTATGGGGAGGCCAAGGCAGGAGGATCACTTGAGCCTAGGAGTTCAAGATTAGCCTGGGCAACACGGTGAAACTCCATCTCTACAAAAAATACAAAAGATTAGCCTGGTGTGGTGGTTTGTGCCTGTAGTCCCAGCTACTTGGGAGGCTGAGGTGGGAAAATCACCTGAGACCCAGGGCTCCAGGCTGCAGTGAGCCATGATCGAGCTATTGCACTTTAGCCTGGGTGCCAGAGCGAGACCCTATCTCAAAAAATGTTACCCTTTGACACGGTTATTTTGAAACCATGATTTTATTAATGCCATCATTCTCAAAGCTTGTGCATGAATTTTCATAGCTTTTTTCATAATAACAAAAAACTGAGAACAACCTAGAATTCTGTCAATGGAGGAATTGATAAATGAATTTTGGAATAATTCTACCAAATACTATTCAGCAATAAAGAGGAACAGTATTGATAGATGCAACAATATGGATGAATCGCTAAGATGTTATACTGAGGAAAAGAAGCCAGGCACAAAAGATTATATGTACAAAATTCCATTTAGAAAAAAACAATTCTAGAAACTATGGCAAAACTAATTTATAATGACAGAAATCAGATCAGTGTCTATCTTGGGTCAGAAGTTGGGATATATTTACTGCAAGAGGGTATGAGAGGACTTCTTGGCACAATGGAAATGTTCAAAATTAATTGTTCTGGTTACATGGCTGTATATATTCATCAGAACACTGAACTGTACCTTTAAAATTGGTACATTTTGTCGTATATCATTTCTATCTCACTAAAGTAAATTTTAAAAGAAATTCCTTTGGTTGGGAGGGTTTCCCTGTTCCCTGAATAAAAAATTGGTCATCTCATGACTTACTTGGCTACCCTCAGGTCATTGAAAGTCCTATGGTCTCCTTAAGTCAGGTGTTCACAAACTACAACTGGACTGTTTTTGTCAGTAGAGTGTATGGGGACACAATGCTGCCCATTTGTAGACTTGCTGTCTACTGTTTTCTCAGTACAACAGCAGAGTTGGGTAATCACAAAAGTACCTAAAATATTTATCCTCTGGCCCATTACAGAAAAAATTAGCCAATTTCTGCTTTAAGTCACAAAACACGATCTCAGTTGAAAAAGTAGAATGCCCCTTCTAATATATTAATCAGTATTTAAATCTTCATTCAGTTGTAGAGCTTCTCCCCTGTTCCCTGTTTCCCCAGCTCCAACTAGATAGAGCTTTTGGGAAGATGTGGTTTCTTCTCCCTTTTTCACTTTCCTCACCCTCCGTTACATAGCCGTTGTTGATTTTTGTCAGGTGGTGGCACAGAGAGAGAAGAGAGAAAGTTGAGAGGAGGAAAGTTTTTAGTGACCAGTGCCCTTATTAAATGGCTTTGGGCTTGGTAGACATTTACAGTGGACTCTCACTCTCATGGATACTTTAGTATGTTCTTCAGAGGCTTTCTTGTTGCCCGCTTGCCCCTCAACCCCTATATTGTGTTGCTCCCTCCACTTTGAGGCATGCCTGGAGGAGGAGTCACAGTGGGCGCCCAGCAGCTCTCCAGACAGACCCTCCTCACACAGACCTCTACTCTCCCTTAGCTCTGCTTTCTTGATTCTTTTATTTATTTATTTTTTGAGATAGAGTCTTACTCTGTCGCCCAAGCTGGAGTGCAGTGGTGCAATCTTGGCCCACTGCCATCTTCGCCTCCTGCATTCAAGTGATTCTCCTACCCCAATCTCCTGAGTAGCTGGGATTGCAGGCACATGCCACATGCCTGGCTAATTTTTGTATTTTTATTAGAGATGGGGTTTTATCATGTTGGCCAGGCTTATTTCAAACTCCTGACCTCAAGTAATTCACCTACCTCGGCCTCCCAAATTGAGCCACTGCACCTGGCCTTAATTCTTCTATGTTCTTGAAGATGGTCAAGGGCTAAAGACAATGAAATTAGAAGTTTTATATAGTTTTTCTTATTTTTGAGACAGTGTCTCGCTTTCTTGCCCAGACAGTGGTGCGAACATGACTGCAGCCTTGACCTTCTGGGCTCAAGTGATCCTCCCACCTCATCCTCCCATGCAGCAGAGACCAAAGATGCATGCCACCATGCCTGGCTGATTTTTTAATTTTTGGTGGAGACAGGGTCTCACTGTGTTGCTCAGGCTGGTCTTGAACTCCCGGAGTCAAGCAGTGTTTCCACCTTGGCCTCCCAAAGTGCTGAGATTATAGGCATCAGCCACCATGCCTGGCTGAAATTGGTTTTTGGATGTTTCTTATATAAATTATATACATGGTATTCTGTTTCCCATCTTACTTGGTGCTGATAATGTCTGTTGAAATCTCCATTTAAACATCTAACGTAGAAAGACATAGTTTTCTATGTTTTACAAAAAGTCTGCCACCCTTGACACAAGGAAAAAACAAAACAAAAAGAAAAAAGCCTACCCATTTTATTCCAGCCTATTCAGTTTTAACTAAAGTATTGTTAAAATCCTGACTATCAATAGAACATGCTGTACTGGTGATAGACTGGCTTTCCACAGTCTTCATTTTCGTTACCTCTTAAATGGATATAACCATGTCAACCTCATAAAATTCTTGTAGGGATTAAGGGAAATAATGTGTATAAGGCTGCTGTCAGGATGTTGCATAAAGCAGTAACTTTGCATTTGTCTCGCCTCCCTCTCTTACACATGAGCATTACATGACCTTGGCAAGACACAGTCTCTCTGGAGCCGTTTCATAGTCTGTAAAATAAATGACTGGCATTAGATATTCTCTAAGGTCCTGCTAGTGAAACAAAATCTTTTTAAGTTCTTATGCGGCATTAGTTTCCTAAGGAAAGGAATTTTAATTTCTTTTTTACTAACTGTAATTATTCTCACTTAGTTGCATGAATGCAGAGACTGTCATATTGTTAATTTTGGAGACAATCCTCTAATTTGAATTGAGATTGGATTACTTCAAGGATAAAAGAAATCACTTCATTCAAATAGATCTAATTCAAAGTCAGATTTTTCTGAGAACAATGTTATTAAAAATGATCTATTTCTGGACAACCACAAAATAACCTGTGACATCCTTAAAAAAAAAAGGCAAGAGAAGAAGAAAATATTTTGGAGTTAATAGTGTCCAAAGATATCCAGTAAGAGTGAGCCATACATTCCACCCAAAGGCAATAAAACCATGGGGTTTTTGTTACGCTTTAATCTGTTGTTTCTCCTTGGACCCAATTTGTTCACAAAGTTAGAGAGTAAAGATCTGGGTGGCAACTATAGGCAGATTCTAAACCTCCCTGAGGGCAGGGATTGTCTCCTACTTGTCATGTATGCTCAGCCTCTAGTACAGTGCTACAGTGCTTGCCATTATATAAGTATTTAATAAATTTTATAGAATACCTAATTGACTGAATCTCACATTAGTACTTTTTAAAATATATGCTAAAAAGCTTATCAATGATCATGACTTGCCAGTTTTCTTCTTAGTACTCTAAATATTGCACTCTCTTTTTTTTTTTGAGACGGAGTCTCACTTTTGTTGCCTAGGTTAGAGTGTAGTGGCGCGATCTTGACTCACTGCAATCTTCACCTTCCTGGGTTTAAGCGATTCTCTTGCTTTAGCTTCCTGAGTAGTTGAGATTATAGGCGCCTGCCACCATACCTGGCTAGTTTTTGTTTGTTTGTTTGTTTTCTGTTTTTTGGGGTTTTTTTTGTATTTTTAGTAGAGTTGGGGTTTCACCATGTTGGCCGGGCTGGTCTCAAACTCCTGACCTCGTAATCCGCCCACCTCAGCCTCCCAAAGTGTTGGGTTTATAGGCATGAGCCACTGCACCCCCCGCCTAAATATTGGACTTTGAATACTGTTTCATTCCTCACCAACTTTAAGATTAGCAGAAGCATTTTTCACATAAGGGAGAAGTTACATGGGAAAGGGCTGGTTAATAACAGAATGAAAAAGCAACCAGGCTACTTAGCCATTGAATAACCAGCTCATCTTCTGGAAACAGCATTACCACTAGCACTAGGGGTATAAAGGATGAATTAGATATCACTCTTGCCCTTGAGAGAAACTGTAAGCTCACCAGTGCTATACAACTCCTACTGTTATATAGGGAACTTTACACCCTCCTGTCAGTGGACCCCACGGAACAGCTTTGTGGCTTCTCTTTATTAATAGTTTTTAAAGTGCTGATGTGGTCCTTGGTTACAAAATGTTATAGTTTGTCTTTTTTCCTTCATCACCCTTCTCCTGTATCCCGTGCCCCTCCCCCCCACATCTGCAGCTTCATAGTACAGCGACACAGCTGGCAGCAGATCTATTAAAATACCATGCTGATCATGTGGTTCTAAAAACATTAAAACTTACTGGAGTAGAAGGAAATTTAGAAGCTTTGGCTGTATATGCCTGTAAACTCTCTGAACAGAAAGAGCAGCTTGTTGAGGTGAGTAATAGATTTGATTGCTGAAGAAATTGTAGTTTAATAATAGCTTTATTAAACTGTGTGGGAATGTTAACACAAATACATTTGTATTTGAGTTACTTTATTTTCTCTCTCCTTTGGAATCTTAAAAGCATAGTATGTATCTGTTCTGTTTCTGCAACAGTCTGGCCTCTAAAACAAAACAAAAAATGCTAAGACCCACAAATGAACTTCTTAATCTTTTCCTTATCCTCTCAGAGAAGTTAGACCTTGGAGTAGAGCCATGGAGGTATGTCATCATATGACCTTGTTTCTGTTTGAATTTGTCAGGGTCTCAGCAGGGAGGAGATGGCATGCTCAAATTAGGACAATTTGAAGACAGTTTAATAAAGGAGCTATTTACAATGGCACAAACAGGGCGTGGGGGAAAACATACGTGAGAGAGCAGTAATTGGGGCGAGTGGTAGCAAGGCTGGTACCACCCCCAGGCCCACATTAACAGGGAACGTGGAATGTGGAAACCTTTCAGAGAACTGCCTTGAGAGGTTTGTGATTTTAGGACTAGGCCTAGAGACAGCTGCAGGTGACCCTCCCAGGAGGAGCGTGGGAGTCAAGGCCCATTCTCTCCTCAGTCCTGCTCATCTGTGATGGGGCTTTCCATTGGCCAAACACAGGTCAGTCTCCTACGGCAAAAGGCAGATGTGAGAAGGGAGGAGAGTGCTTAAGGAGTGACAAAGAGAAGACATCTGGCACACAATTTCAAATCTCAGTTGTGAGTTACTGCTGCTTCGCCTGCCACTTGTGTTATAATTCCAGTTAGGCTTATTAATTGATACTCTGAGCCTTCTGCCTATTGAAAATGTCAGATATCTACTAGAAAGAAAACCCAACTGTATTAGTCGTTTTCATGCTGCTGATAAAAATATACTCAAGATTGGGTAATTTATAAAGAAAAAGAGATTTAAGGAACTCACAGTGCCACAGGGCAGAGGAGGCTCATAATCATGGCACAAGGCAAAGGAGGACAAAGGCACATCTTACATGGCAACAGTCACGAGAGCTTGTGCTGGGGAACTCCCATTTATGAAACCATCAGATTCCATGAGACTTACTCACTATCACGAGAACAGTATGGAGGAAACTACCCCCATGATTCAGTTACTTCCACCTGGTCCTGCCCTTGACACATGGGGATTATTACCAATTCAAGGTGAGATTTGGGTGCGGACACAGACAAACCATATCACCAACCAAACAAAAAACTGAACACATGCATAGCTTATATGTATGAGGTATATGCTAGCCAACATGTACATAAATGCAAAGATATGAACCATCTAGCTACCTTTACATGATCTTATATATCCTGCTCACCAAAAAGACTAATGGTTAGAGGGAACCTTTAGACTAATTGAACTGGCTTCTTCTCCTTTACTTGTTTACATAGGAGCCTGAAAACTTCTGGGGGAGCATTCTTAAAATGACTGTAGATACAGCTTCTCCATTTAATAAGTTTGATGCTGCCATGTTTATAAACCAAATATTATAATTATAGGGAAATTGCTTATTTTGGGAATCCTGCAGCAAATCTTTTTAACATTGAAAAAAATGTTTTCTCGTTTTCTAAGTGTCAAGATTTTCAATAATTTCCTCTGATACAGACTCTCTCCTTATTATACCAGTCTGCCTAATCCAATGTTAGCTCCATTGGAAGGCAGTGTTGATAGAACGTGTAGCTTGGAGTAACTCTGACATAGTTAAGGTGTGAGACCTTGGGCAGGTTACTTCTCTGAGCCAACTTTCTTTATATATAAAATATGTGGGCACTACTATGTCCTTCCAAAGTTTTCTTCTGTTTCTAACATTCTGTAACCACCTTGCCATGATTGGATAGGAAGTAGAAAGAACGTTATACCTTTATTTGTGTCTGCGTTGTTCCCAGAGAATCTGTTGGTGACCAATATAATATTATAATAGCCTTCTCAGTAATGTTTAAACTTATTCTAATAGGTTTGAAGAAATTTTGTTTGTAAAATTTTCTTTTTAATTATAAAATGATACTATGTATTGAGGAGGATTAGGATGTGAAAGTTGAACCATGGACATGTTTTCTTGTAGACCTGTCGATTGTTACGACACGTATCTGGGACAGAACCTCTGGAAATAACCTGTATACATGCAGAGGAGACATTTCAGGTGACTGGCCAACAGGTATGATAACAGCAGATTGTTCCTTCTGTATTGTGTCTTATCTCATTATAACAAGTACTGTGGATGGAAGGTATAAATGGTTCTGCATAACTAGAGGCCAAATCTACGTAGAGAAAGAGAGATAATGAAATTTCTGTTGGTAGTGTGCTGGAACATGGCTAACCTTCCATTGGAGCTGGTCATCTGCCAGATTGGAGACTGGCTCATTTAATGAATACTCTAGTTTATAACTATTTTAAAGGAAACTGTTTACAATGCACTTGTTATAACATGTTTTGAGATTAAGTTATCATGACATAACAAGCCATACATTATGTAATATTCACATTTCAACCTGATAAATACTCACTTTTCATGCTAATGATTAGGACATGGGACGAAACACAAAGAAAACAACGTTATGACATTACTTATAAGATTCAATTAGGACCAGGCATGTGGCTAACACCTGTAACCCAGCACTTCGCAAGGCTGAGGTAGAGGATTACTTGAGTATAGGAGTTTGAGACTAGCCTGGGCAGCATAGCAAGACTGTCTCTACAAAAAATAGAAACAAACATACAAAAATTAGCCAGGTGTGGTGGTGCATACCTGTAGTCCTAGCTACTAAGGAGGCTGAGGCAGGGGGATAGCTTGAATCCAGTTTGAGGCTGTGGTGAGCTATGATTGTGTCACTCTCTGTCATCAGCCTGGGTGACAGAGCAAGACTCCATATCTGGGGGAAAAAAAGATCCAACCAGAAGCAAAATAACCATCTTAAATTAGGCAAACATTATAGTGTTAAATAATAATTATGATAACCGAAATTAGCAACCACTGAAAAAATGTTCTGTTCAGTGTTAAATGAAAAAAGTAGGATACAGATTTATATGTATACTATAATTTCATATGCATAGAGAATATATATACATATCAACATACCTATATGACAATATCCTTGTTTAGCCAGGATTTTTTTCTGGATTTTCTATAGTAGAGGTATTTATTAGTCTTTATAATTTTCAAAAGCCTTTTAAAAACTGATTATCTCATTTAATATTGTTCCTGTCAAATTAATCTAAGGAAAGTAATTAAAGACAGAGCCTCCTTCTTTTTTTTTTTTTTTTGAGGAGTCTCGCTCTGTCACCCAGGCTGGAGTGCAATGGCACAATCTCAGGGCTCATTGCAACCTCTGCCTCCTGGATTCAAGCAGTTCTCCTGCCTCAGCCTTCTGAGTAGCTGGGATTACAGGTGTGCACCTTTATGCCCGGCTAATTTTTGTATTTTTAGTAGATATAGGTTTTTACCATATTGGTCAAATTGGTCTCAAACTCCTACCTCGTGATCCACCTGTCTCGGCCTCCCAAAGTGCTGGGATTACAGGTGTGAGCCACCGTGCCTAGCTGCTTCCTTCTTTTTTAGAGTCTAAGCTTGAAAATAAGGTTTTCCAATTGTTCTTTTTATTTTAAAATATTTATTTATACTTTAATTTATATTTTATTTATATTTACTTACTATGGTCAGCCAAAAGGATTCCTCCTAACTTGCAATATTGGACAGTAGAGGTTGAGTCCCTGGTTCTTTGATTTATAGTTGAGAACAGTGCAAGTGACCTAAACTCAGTAATGGTATGTGCCCTCTAGGAGAATCATGTTGGATGTTGGAGGGATGATCATATGCTCTCCCATAGAGAACAGTGTCAGAGGCTTATCATGAAAGCAGGAACTGTATAAATGAACCTCCACAATGATCAGCTGCTGAACACTTCATTACAACCAGGGGAATCTCTGTTTACTGGGAGAAACTATGGCTTCAGTATTTGCATGGGAGCCACTCTTCTTGCTTTGGCTGCAAATTTATTTCAATAGAACTGGAGGGCTTGACTCTCCTGCCATATGCAATCAGTTCTTGCTCCTATCCTCAGGCCCTGCCTGCCATCTGGTTGTAGTTTTTAGTTTATTGTTTCTATTGCAGCAGTGATATTAGGAATATATATTTTCTTCCCCAGGATAGTGGCAAAGAATGTTGTTCATAACTTGTATAACTTGAGAAGCTTTTTCTGTTTTCAAAGCCTCAGCTTCCACTCCTAGTCTCTGCCATCTGCCTCACAAAAGGATAATTTAAGGACATTGAGCATGCCTCTGGGATAATTTATTTCTGGATATCTCTGCTTTAGCAATGTTATTTTTGTATTTCCTTTAAAATGTTAGACATACTGAGGGAACAATTGAACAGTTTGTACACTGTACAAAGAAAGGCTCCTGGTTGAGAGGAGAGCAATGCCAAAATCTGACCTATAGTCCATGGCAAGTTATGTGCCTACTTTCCCTGAAGAAGGGGAGCCTTGTTCTTATAATACTGCCATCTGCTTGGTGAGTACTCTGCCTATGGGACTGTGCCCACCCTAGAGGAAGGAGTACCTAGTTGTAATTCATTCAAAGGTACCAACTATAAATATATATATATATATATATATATATATATATATATATATATATATTTCTAACATGACCCTGATCATAGTAATCTTCTGTAAGTTCTCCAATGACTTTCTCACTCAGAAGAAAATCCAGTCCTTACCATCTATGCTTCTCCGTTACATGGCCACTGGCCACCTTCCTGTTGCTCATGTCAGTTGTTCCCCTGGCTTACTAGCTATTCCTTGAACACTCCAGAAATGTTTCTGTCTCATCCCAGTTGACTTTCCCTCCATTTCCCTGCAGCTCCCTCACCTTTTCAGTGACCTTCGAACTTAAAATACTGTGACTACCTAATGCCCTCCATCATTCTCACCGTTAATTTTGATACATATTGTTTATTCCCCTCTAAAGTATCTTACAATTTGTCTCTCTCTCCACTCATTATAATGCTCATTATAATGTGAGTCCCATGAAGCCAGGGACATTTATCTGTTTCATTCACAGCTGTTTCCCCAGCACCTGGAACTAGTAGGAAGTAGTTCCTACTAGTACGTAGTAGGTGATTAAATAGTCTTGTTAGTTGTATACATACGCGTGTGTGAATAATCCTATATAATCAACTCCATGGAACAACAATATCACTTGTTAGTAATGGGCATCTCTGTCACATTATCCTATTAATTTCCTTCATAGCACTTACCATAATTTATAATATTTTAATTGTATACTTGTTTATTGTTCCAAATCCCCACTAGAATATAAGCTTCATAATTGAGGGCTTTTATCTTCTTTTTTTTTTATCACCGTATCCCCAGCACCTAGCCTGATTTTTTTCACATAATGAATTCTCTGAAATACTACTTACTGGATGAATGTTTGATATAATATCCCCAGTCTGTGAAATAAGATGGTAGACAGAATAGAAGGTGAAAGTGGTAGAAGGGAAAGGATGTGCTATAAACATATCAAGACTAAACTCTGAATTCCTAGTCCTGGACCTTTTTGTGTGTGCCTTTTATTTAATGGGCCATCAGGAAATTTCAGCAGGTTTGGTTTGGTCGATGGCTTCTATTTTGAGGTAGGAGCTAAAGTGTAATTTCTATTGAATGTCAGGTCAGGAGGTGTATGAATTTTCTGCCTATATTACAATTAGCATCTATCAGGTCTTTCATGTTAGAGAGTGATTATTATATGAAAGATAAAATGTTAGTTGATTCATTCATTTATTCATGTAGTACCTAACACTAAATAAAACCCCAAATGCCACAATCTCAGTGGCTTAATATAATAGCAGTTTATTTCTCACCTGTATGAAGTCCTGATTAATGGTATGTCTTTCTCCCTCTTAGCAATCCAGGCGCCTTTCATTTTGTGCCTCGCCAACCTTTAGTGCCTCAGAGTCCCTACTGGGTTCTATGCATTAAACCATCAGGTGTGGAAGGGAGAGAGCGCTGAAGAGCATGAGGGGGGTTTGGGTCAGTTAGGATGGAAGTGGTGACCCATATTCAAGTGGGCAGAACTCAGTCTCGTGGCCATACATCTCCACCGGGGAGGCTGGGAAATGTAATCTTGCTGTGTATACGGAGGGAAGACAAACAGATTTTGATGAAAGCGTAGCAGTCTCTACAATAATTCATTTATTTATTCAATGCATTTATTCAGCCCATATGGTGTTACATGTAAGTACCAGGATGATTTCTGCCCACTTTGGAAGTATTTTGTGAGAGGCAGCGTGATGTGATGGGAAGAGCCTGGACTTGGATCAGGTAGATCTAAGTTTAAGTATCAACTCTGTATATACTAGTTATAGGATCTGGCGCAAGTTACTGGGTATCTCTGAACTTCAGCTTTTTTTAGCTGAAAATGGGAATAATGCTTATTTGGGAAAAGTAGTATTTTATTTATGTATTTTGAGGGATATTAACATATTAATGTATCTCAAGCACCAAACACAGTATCTCAAGCATGTATCTACCAAGTACTCATAGGTGTGAATATATGTTACTTATTATTATCAATGCTATTCCTTCTGCTATCACTGCTACTACCACCACCACTATTACTGCTACCTTTGCTACTCTGTATACAGTATACTCTTTGTGGTCTGAGTATAACTCTTTGAATTATTCTATGGGAACAACTTTGTTCAAACACAGTTTTCCTTGAATGAAGAGAATTACTCCCTGAATGCAGGTTTGTATATAATAATGCATACTATTTATCTGCAGGTCAGATTATAAGAAACAACAAATTTTGTTCTACTGTGTGTCTTCATATTGCTCAACATGGAGCTTGTGTATAGAAATTACTTCATATTGTTTATTGAGTTGAATTAACAGCAGACTTAATTACCTTTGGTCTCCAGAGTGATTCTGAGGCCAAGATTTTGAAATTCACGCAGATGTATGTTGTGTTTCTTTAGATTATTTCTGCTGCTGAAACATTGACGTTGCATCCATCTAGTAAAATTGCTAAAGAAAACCTAGATGTGTTTTGTGAAGCTTGGGAATCCCAAATTAGTGACATGTCAACACTGCTAAGAGAAATCAATGATGTGTTTGAAGGAAGACGAGGTGAGAAACTGTCCACATAATGAAATATGTTATTTTAGTGTAACTCTGTTAGTTTTTTAATGCCAAACCTCAACTGCAAATGAATTATTTTGTTGTAACCCAGCTGGGTTATTTTCATAGTAAAATATCTTTCACAAAAAAAATTACAATATTATTTTATCCTTTATTTTAGTATCTAAGCAGTAAAGTTAGTTGTACAACAGTGTAGTAGGCCGGGTGTGGTGGCTCACACCTGTAATCCCAGCACTTTGGGAGGCCGAGGTGGGCAGATCACTTGAAGTCAGGAGTTCGAGACCAGCCTGGCCAACATGGTGAAACCCCATCTCTACTAAAAATATAAAAATTAGCCAAGTGTTGTGGTATGCGGCTGTAATCCCAGCTACTACGGCTGAGGCACCAGAATTGCTTGAACCCAGAAGGCGGAGGTTGCAGTGAGCCAAGATTATGCCACTGCACTCCAGTCTGGGCAACAGAGAGAGACTCTGTCTCCAAAAAACAAAACAAAACAAAACAAAACAAAACAAAACAAAACAAAACAAAACAGTGTAGTAGATCTCTGAATTAATATTAACATTCTAGTTTTCCTATTGAGACTGTTATTTTTTTATTTCTTCTAAGTTTTTTAGTTATAATATAACTTTTCTATGATGCAATAATTCTCTGTTTTTAATTCTACTAACTTCATAATGAAATGAATGTAGTTATTTGATTTTTGAATTGCTTTCCTTCCACTTGGATGGAATCTCTTTCCTTGATGACTACATAATCTTGGAATATTGCCTGTGGTGGGTAAGTTCACTGGTACTTCTACAACATGTAGAATAGCATATATACCATACAGTGTATAGGAGGGCATCATTTTTATTCTTTATTTTAACACCAACTGGAAGTTTTGTTCATTTCCCATTGTGCTGTGTGTCCTGTTATTTATGTTTACATGTTTATATGTTTTCTCTAAATGGCTTTTGTAGTGTCAAAGCTTGCTTATTTTTTTTAAATAAAATGTCATTTAAAGTTATTACATCAAATTACATATTTATTTCTATTGATTATGCCCATTTAAATATTTCATATTTTAAAAATACCCGTTTAGGATAAATGTTGATCTGCTTAAAAATCAGGACATAATAGAATTATAGCTATAACATCATTTTTAAAGTATAATAAATGTTTACAAGTTTCCTCATTTACAGATTTCTGTGATAGTCTGAATGGCATATCATTTTGATGCCTTGATAATGTATTTATAGTTACATAGATTTCTATATGAGCCAAATTTTGGATATTAAAAGGTAAATGATATAATTGATCCACCTTTAAAAGGAATAATGATCACTTAGCTTTAGGGACTGTTGGGAAATGAAGAGAAGTGGCTTCCTGTGGTGATAGGATACATGGTGTGGGTTATCCTGGAGTATCTATAAGGCCCAGCTCTTTATCCCACTGGTGTTAGGCAAGCTGTTTCCTGGTCCGGGCCCAAGTGTCCTTGGCTCAATAATGAGAGCCTTAGGCTGAGTGATCTCAGTGACCTGCCAGCTCTTAAAGTCTTTTGTGAGCACTACCCGAAGTTAGTGTAGTTTTGACTTCTGGGCATAGAATAAACCCCACACTGTGTCTTTATCCTGCCTGCCTCTCTTTAAAGGCCAGAGGAATATTATCTTCTGGCTTTTTTTTTTTTTATTAGTTGTCATCAATCCTTGAAAGTAGGGAGGCTGGAGGTGTGCCGCAGAATGGCTATTTTTCAGGCATGTGACTGACTCCATGTACTTGCAAATGTTTTCCACGTGCACTGTGAGAAGCTTTACTAATAGCTGCAGCCATTCTGAAGAGAATGTGACATCAAGCCTGGCCAGCTGATTCTCTTTACCAGAACACCATTGAGCTTAGTATTGGTTTCTCTCATACTGTTTTCAGTACTGGATAGGTTTTTGTTTTCATTCATGTAAACGTGGGCTATAGCTGAGTTTTCATTACTTGTACTTCTTCTGTGTCCCTGGGCTAGTGAGTTGATCATCATCTGAAACGGATATGGTTCTAATCTTCTTGACCAAGGGCCTCTTCCTCTTTGTTTCTGAGATCCTCCCAGTTTCTAAACCAGGCTGTTCTACCAGCATTTTGGTCTATTTTTTCTCTTTTATTTCCATAAGAAGAGGAGTTATAACAGGTTTTTCCCCCCTCTCAAGAAAGATGGCAGTCATTTAACAGTTATTCTCTGCCTTCATCCTGGGCGATGTTCTGAATAGCAATTACAGTAGCAATTAGAGGTTGATAACCTTGGCAAGGGGGTTTTCTTTCTATAAATGTAAGTAATTTTTTCCCCCTTGAAATAGAAAACAAACCCAAGTTGCATTTTCCATCAGGAGGTCTCTTCCTTCCTCAGAGATCTGAGTGCTAATATCATGTTAGGGGTAGAATTGGGTAGAAGTTGAAATTCAGGTTCTGAAGTGGACTGCCTAGGTTCCAGTCCTGCCTTTGCTATTTTCTAACTTAATCTCTCTGTGCTTCAAGTTTTACATCTGCAAAATGGGGATAATGATGACAAAACTACCTAATATGGTGAGTGTGAAGATTAAATAAAATAAGTTAATTCACACTAAATTCCCAACAAATGTTACCTCTATCAGCATCAGCTGATACCTTAGAGTAAAACTAAATAGTTTATGAGAAAACATTAGGTCTGATTTCTCTCCCTTAATCTCAATCTCTGCTCCTTTCTGGAATCCCTCTCTCCATATGTCCTTTCTCCTACTGAGGACTAGCCTGTCTGGCCCCACCATAGGAAATCTCTAGGTCTGCAGAAGCAAAGGTAAACTCCTTGCTTCTTTGTACAGATGAAGCTCATCCCTTCTCCAATGGTGAACTGACACCCTCTGAAAGAGTCCTCTCACTGGACATCTAATGCAACATTAATTTAGTGCTCTCTTTTTTGCCTTTCTTTTACCAAAGTTAGGCTCTTTAAAAAAACAGCTAAGGGAGTTTAAGGAAAAGTAAAAGCCACAGGCTACTAGGGTCTGTGTGGGTAAAATTGTCAACATGATCCTTCAGAGACATGTGACTATTATAACCATAAAAGTAACAGTAGCTACCATCTTTTGAGAATTTACTGGGTGCCAGGTACTTTCATAAGTGCTGGATGTGCATTTTCTCATTTAATCCTCTCAGTAACCTTGAAGACAGGTATTATTTCCACATTTTACATATGATGAAATTGAGGCTCGAAGTATCCCAAGTGAGTAAACCACAGGAGCTGGGACCCTTACTGAGGTTTGAGTGATGCCAAAGATGAAATTTTATTAACTACCCACACTCTATTACTCAAGCAATTAAACCCCACTCCAGCTCTAAAGTTTTCTAATGAGAATGAACCAGTTCTGTGAAAAATACTCCCTACTGCAGCTCTGAGTTCTGCTTTTTTTTCCCCCTCCCAATGCCATTCCAGAAATGACTGAGAGATCCCAGGAAGTACAGAGCAAGGAACAAGCATGACTGGATTCTTGTTTTGGTTGATCCATTTACTGGCTGAGGATGGGGCTGGCAAAATTACAGAAGGGCTAAAACAATCTGTTAGTAATGGAATCCTGGGCACATTACCTGCCCTTTTGAGTGTTTCTTTATTTCAAAAGATATAAATGAAGTATTTTGTCATAGTGCTTGCACATCCTATACCTGTTTTCAGACTATATGAGCACTGTGGTTTCTTTTACTTTCAAGCTGGATATTATGTAAATGATTTCTTCCATAGGTTCAGTTAACTTACATTCAAAAAATCAGTATTACCCAAACTTCCTAAGGACTGAACAGAAGTTCTTTCTTATGTGGGAAACTCCACAGCCTTCAGTCAACAGAACACCTATTGTTTCATTGGGAAAGTGCCTCTCTGTTCATTAAGGGTTTATGTAGGGTTCATTGAGATGGAGTTGGTGGATTGTGTGTGCTGCCTTTATTTGTCCTGATTTTTATCATGAACCTCACGAGCATAGCTTTTTCCTTAAAGAAGTCTAACTCTGGGTTAACCATTACTGAATGAATGGAATCCAGTGTCACAGTGTTGTTCTTCCTTTTATGGAAGGTTGGTGTGACAAAGCTGCCCATTACCTTGCACCTGCCTACTACTTTCCATACAAAGGTGTATTCTTCAGGTCCTGATTTCTCTTTGCTGCTGCTATAACTCATGTTATGACTGTTATTCAAAAGCCTTTGCCGTATTCTAGCCACCTTAGTTCTGCTCTGCATAACTTGCCTCCTGTGATTGGCAAACTACCAGGCATACTTGTAAGTATCATTTAACCAACCACCTAAGTGGTAAACATGCTAAGCAATAAGAGGGAGCCTTTAGTGTTCACACGGTAGTTAGTGAGAGCTAGGTCATTGTCCACCTTAACCCCAGACACTTAAATTTCACATTAGGACCTCCTGGGATTGTTTTCAAAAAGGTAAAAATCAATACTTGTCTTCCTGTCTTCTGTTTTCATCCTATTCTGCTTTATCACCCAACTGACTCAGCCAGGCACAGTGGCTCATGTTATAATCCCAGCACTTTGGGAGGCCAATGCGGGAGGCAGTGGTCCTTATATTAGAAAGGACCAGATCTAAAAGACTCTACTTTTCCTTAGTGGTGAATATGTCTCAGTTTAGAATTTGAGATTATTTTGGACAAATAAGTGTCAGAAAAAAGCCTTATCTCATGGCTGTAGTCCCTATCTCTCCTTTAAGGAAGCTGAATTCCCTTTGTTCTATTTAAATAATTTTAGAGCAAATATGACTATGCTTCAGTTAATAGAGATGCAGCTCTAACCGAACTATATGGGACAGTTGTGATCCTGCATGGACCATTTTCTTCTATTTTTTTTTTTTTTTTTTTTTTTAAGTTGAGGATCTTGCCAAGAATCTTAGTTTGGTTTTCAGTTCTGTAACTACTTTTCTCATTTTCCCAGGAGTCCTATTTCATAGCCCTGCATTTACATTATCATTAGGTAGATTGGATGCCACAAAAGAAAGGGGGGTACAGGAAGAGAAACATGTTCATGGATAAAGATGAGTTTATTTGGGGAAGATAAGAGCCTGCACCAAGGGAGTGATCGGTCCAGAAAGGAGATGATGGCCTACACTAGGGTGATGATAGTCAAGATAAAGATAAGGGGACTAATTTAAGAAAAATTTAAAAACTAATAGTAGGGTTTATTGGTCAATTGAATATAGAGATGAGGGAGAGAGAGGAGTTGGAAGATGATAGCTGGGTTTAGATGACTACCTCAGTCCTGCTCCTGAGTTTAGCTGATAACCTGCCTGTCCTTTACACATCGGGGATTTATTTTAAGTGGGTCTGGGGACGTGATTTTTTTTTTTTGATCGATTATACCATATAAAGCACCTCCAGAACCAGAGATAGCTAATTATAAGACCTGTGAATCAGGCATAATTTAGCAAATTTTCAGTAAAATAATAAAGCTTTTCCATTCTTGGGGAATTAGCTTTATTTTGTAGATATACAGAAAGGCTTTATGTATTGTAACTGAGAACATTTCTCAATTAGCTTTTCATAAGAAATAATTTTAGTACTCTCTTAAGATGAGAGACCCTGTGAACTTAATTTATCTGAAGGTATAAACTCAGAAGATGGCACAATTGTGGTGTTGACTAAACAGGATTTAGGATACCTCATTGAGGACAGTGCTTTGAAGACAGTTCTTTATATCAAATCTGTATTAAGTATATTTTCTCCAAATAGGCCTGTTTTTCCAACTATTTTTAATGTTTATGAGAGTTTGTTTATGCTACCTCCTTGATATAACAGCTCAACATAATTTAGACAGTATTTTATCATATTTTAGAGATAGGGTCTCACTTTGTCACCTAGGCTTGTGTGCGGTAGTTTGATCATAGCTCACTGCAGTCTCAGACTCCTGGGTTCAAGGGATCTCCCCCATAGGTAGAACTACAAGTGCTGTCCACCATGCCAGGATGCTTTTTTTTTTTCCCCAGAAATGGGAGTCTCACTGTGTTACCCAGGCTGGTCTTGAACTCCTGGCCTCACATAATCAATCCTCCCATATTGACCTCCCAGAGTGCTGGGATTATGAACATGAGCCACTGTGCCTGGCTGAGCCAGTTTCTTCTTCCTTTTTTTTTTTTCTGCTTAGAATCAGTGGCAGTAATTAGACTCACATGGAAATAACGTCTATAATTAGCTGAGTGTGGTGGCGTGCACCTGTAGTCCCAGCTACTCAGCTACTTGGGAGGCTGAGTCACGAGAATCACCTGAACCAGGAGGCAGAGGTTGCAGTGAGCCAAGATTGCACCACTGCACTCCAGCCTGGGCAACAGAGTGAGACTGTGTCTGAAGAAAAAAAAATTAGGAAGTAACATCTATAAAATTAACTATAGTTTAGATCTCGTGTTAGTATTACATTGCTTTTTATTGTGCTTGTCAACTTGTTTGGCTTCTGACTCGGGGAAAGAAGAATCTTACCTGTGTAGTATTCGGAGGAGTCCTATCTGAAAAAATGATCAATTTTTCAATTATTCTCAAATTAGTATAAATCATCCTGAGTCTAACTGAAGGATGAGAATAGGAAGCAAAACAAAGTATCTGTAAGAGGACCAGTGGGATTAGAAGTATCAAGTGATAAATACTACTAGGTGGATGAAAATGGTAACAAACCAGATTATGTAGAAACTTTCTTTTCATTGCATTTATTTCTCAATGCATTTATTTATACATTCTGCTTTCTTTAACTCTGTGGTGTCTTAGAGATATAAGAAATATTGAAACAGTTAGTTTCCCCCCAACCTGTGAAGAGTAAATGTGAAGGCCCATAGGCACTATAGAAGATTACTAGGTTAGATAATACAAGACTACTCCTGTAGCTGATTACATTTAAGTAATCATAGTCCCCTTTAAAAATTCTTTATTCTTTGTTTATTTTTAGTACTTTCCCACTTTGGTTTTTTGTTTTATTTTGTTTGAGACAGAGTCTTTCTCTGTCAGCCAGGCTGAAACAAAACAAAGAAAAAAGAACAGACTATAGGCATGTGCCACCGCACCTGGCTAATTTTTGTATTTTTAGTAGAGACGAGGTTTCACCATTTTGGCCAGGCTGGTCTTGACCTCCTGACCTTAGGTGATCCACCTGCCTCAGCCTCCCAAAGTGCTAAGATTGCAGGCATGAGCCACCGCACTACACCCAGCCTCCCACTTCTGTTTAATGTTCCTTTTATAATATGCTAAGACCACTTTTAAAGCATATTATGGACAGGATTCAGACTTTGAATTAAGATAGATGAAGTGTCAAAATCTGAGTGACCTGAAGACCATCTTCTGTTAATCTTGGAACTAAATCAGGCACTTCTTACATCAGAGCTTGGAGACAAGGCATGAAAATAGCCTATTCCTTTTTAAGTTTTTCTTCCTCACCATTCTGAGATCAGAGAGCCATTAATTAATAAAATTCCCTTACAAGGAAACTATTTGAATCATAAAGCTATTCCCAAGTACCCATTAACTCACTCTTAGCAACAGTTCTTCTTGTAGATCAGCACTGTCCAAGAGAAACAAAATGTGAGACACATATGTAATTTAAAATTTTCTAGGCTAGGCACGGTGGCTTATGCCTATAATCTCAGCAGACCAACACAGGAAGGTCGCTTGAGCCCAAAGAGTTTGAGACCAGTCTGGGCAACATAGTGAGACCCCATCTCTAAAACAATACAAATAAATTACCTGGTGGCACATGCCTGTGGTCTCCACTACTCAGGAGGCAGAGGTGGGAGGATCATCTGAGCCCAGGAGGTTGAGCCTGCAGTAAGCCTGAGATCTCCACCACTACACTCCAGCCTGGGTGACAGAGCAAGACCCTGTCTCAAAAAAAAAAAAAAAAAAAAAAATTCTAGTAGGCACAGGAAAAATTAAAAACATGTGAAATTTGTTTTAATAATAGTTTTTATTTAATCTAAATGTCCAAAATACCATTTAAATATACAATGAATATTTTAGTATATAATTATTAATATATTTTACATCTTTTCTTCCTCCCTTTGTACTACATCTTCAAAATGTGTTATGTATTATACACTTATAGCACACCTCAGTACAGACTAGCCACATTGTAAGTGCTCAGTAGTCACATGTGGCTAGAATTTAATAGCACAGTTATAGATGAAATTTTAAATATTTGTATAAACCATTGTGAGACTAGCAGGTTTGCCCATTTCATGTAATAGTCATTCTATGAGAAAAGGTGTGATTTAGTGCTCTTATGTTTACTTTTATTAGTTTGGACCATATGAAATTTCAAAATGGTTGAATACCAGCAATTTCATATGATTTAAACTAATCTATTATAGCTGAATATACTTGTTTTCCTTGAAGAAGGAATTTTTCTTCAAAACGCAATTACTGTTTAGTTCTTGAATGTTTACCCCAGATACCACAAACTAGCTTTTATAACCTGACTTTTTTATATGTACTTTTTTATAACCTAGCTTTTATATGTAACCTGACTGTATACATGATCTGGAAGTTGCAAAATGATAGATGGGGCAGGGATGATGTGGGCATTGCCCATCTCCTTCCTTTCCTCATTATTGTGTTTCATGCCATGTGTCAGTTCACAGCCAAAGAAACCTCCTGTTATTTGCTTTATTTCATCTTCCTATCTTGTACAGAGGGGTTTCTTCTTCCCTGACTGAGAGAATACATTACGAGGTTAGTTATAAATTATTTGGTCTGGTACTTTTCAGAAATGGAAGTAGCGCTGATACTGGTACTAATAAAAGAGGAATCAGGTTTCATTAGAGGCCAGCTGCTGTAAAAGGAGCACTCTGTGAATGAAGCTGATTGTGAGTGACAGTAAATGTCAGTGGGACATTTGCTTTTCTCCCTTTATGTTGGGAGAGGTGGAGATTGGCCAGAATAGTACCTTAGACATGCAGCTGTTGAGAGTCTTCATGTTCATCAGCCAAATTACAATTTTATTTCTGAATTTTATGTAATTAATAGACTAAATTAATAAAACTAATGTACTAACGTTCCTGTTTGTTTAATTAATACTTTAAAAGTGTGAATAATAGAAAAATATAGTAGTAGAAAAAAAATTTTAAGTAATATGTGTTATTTGTAGGAGAGAAGTATGGCTACCTTTCACTTCCAAAGCCAATGGTAAGTAAGAATTATGTTCATTTCAGAATGTTATAATTCAGAATTCAAATTATGCTCCTGTTGCCTGTTGCTACTTCCCTATACCACAAATAACTGACATAATAGAAAAAAGATAGGATATTAATGTTGACTTCAGAATTGTTATTATGGGTAGCAATCTAAGTGTAGCTCATACTCTGAATATTTGTGTTAGGTTTGGGGGTTTGAGAAAATAGGTAACATAATTTGTGACTAATAAAAAGCCATATCCTAGTAATAGCATCATAAAAATAAATAAATAAGTTATTAAAAAGCCATATCTGAGGTCAGAAGTTGTTTTGTTCTCCCTATCTTGGATCTAATTTGCAAAGTCATCTTGGTATCACTGTCTGCAAACTAAGGACTTTCATATGCTTTCTACCTAGATGGAAACATGTCACATGTCATGTATATGGGAAAGAGATACACAGTCATACATTAGCCAAGCAGTGATTCCAAGATCCCTTGTGGGGTTAAAAAATTTTGGAAATTATGGATCAAAAATATTTGGAAAAATTATAACAATGCAACAATAAAAAATATTGACAGGAATGAAAATTGCTATCTCCTGGCTGATAGCATTTTAATATCGGTCATATTACCCAGGTGGCATTTTGATGATCTTAGCAATTCATTTACAGAGAGCATTCTATGGAAATGTATAGTTTTGAATAAGATGAATATAGAAAGTAGAAATGATAGTAAAAAAAAAAAAAATCAATTATCAACAAGGACTATTCCTCCAGAACTACCAGGTGGTCCTAGTAACTCTAATTTAAGAAGTAGAGGAAAACAATGGCCCATGTAGAAGTAGCTTCTGAACAGGAAGTAATCATGACAACAAATGAGAAAAATAAAAAAGACTTGTGAATTATGCTGGGCATAAAATTATACCAGGTTTCTCAGTTACAAAGAAGGGAGCACTTTGATGGCCCACAGTATTCATAACAGGTCAAATTATAGGTCAAAGAGGGATAAAAATATTCATTTGTTTATTCATTAAGTACTACTTGATCACCTACTATTTGCCAGGCCATGATGCTTGATCACCTACTATGCTTGGCCCTGATGAAAGAATGATGAAAAAGACACTAAAATATAAATTCCACAGTAGGGATTTAAAAAATTATTTTGTTCTTCTTGCCTAGACTGTCTGGTATTGCCCTTGACTAGACTGTCTGGCACAAGTTTGACACTCAGAAAATAATCTGATAATTTGCTGAGTCAATGGAAAAGGCAGGCCTGGCCTCTGCTACTGTGAAGCTTACAGTCTAACCCAACACTGATCAATAGAAATATACAGTTGGCCCTCCGTATCTGAGGTTTCCACATCTGTGAATTCCCATAGGCTGGGTGCAGTGGCTCACGCCTGTAATCCCAGCACTTTGGGAGGCCGAGGCAGGCGGATCACAAGGTCAAGAGATCAAGACCATCCTGGCCAACATGGTGAAACCCTGTCTCTACTAAAAAATACAAAAATGAGCTGGGTGTGGTGGTGTGCACCTGTAGTCCCAGCTATTTGAGAAGCTGAGGCTGGGGAATTGCTTGAACCCGGGAGGCAGAGGTTGCCGTTAGCTGGGATTGTGCCACTGCACTCCAGCTTGACAACAGAGTGAGACTCTGTCTCAAAAACAAAAACAAAACAAAACAAAATAACAGTACAATGATAAAAAGTAATCTAGCGATGATTTAATGTATATAGGAGGATATGTATAGGTTATATGCAAATACTATGCCCTAACAGATGGTTTTATAGCTAATATCCTACCAGATTTAAGCAAGTAAGGATAGACTGTATAACAACTATTTACATAGCAATTACATTGTATTAGTTTTTTTGTTGTTGTTTGTTTGTTTTGAAATGGAGTCTCTGTCAGCCAGGCTGGAGTTCAGTGGCATGATCTCAGCTATTGCAACCTCCTCCCAGCAGGTTCAAGTGATTCTCCTGCCTTAGCCTCCCAAGTAGCTGAGATTATAGGTGCTCATCATCACACCCAGCTAATTTTTGTATTTTTAGTAGAGATGGGGTTTTGCCATGTTGGCCAGGCTGACCTAAAGTGATCCACCCACCTCGGCCTCCCGAAGTGCTGGGATTATAGGCCTTGGCCACTGTGCTTGGCTGTATTAGGTTTTATAAGTAATCTAGAGATGATTTAATGTATATAGAAGGATATGTATAGGTTATATGTAAATACTCTGCCATTTTATATAACGGACTTGAGCATACTGAGGGATGACTATAAGTCAAGGCATATTATATAATTAAAAATTGTGTAGTAGTCATATTACAAAAAAACTCGTGAAGTTAATATCTTTTATTTAATCCAGTATATCCCAAATATTTTCACTTAAGCATGTAATCAACATATAATTAGGGGAATTTTTTTTATAATCATTTTGTCATATTAAGTCTTCAAACTTTATTGTGTATTTTACCCTTAAGGTGTATCTCAATCCGGACTAGCCACATTTTAAGTATTCAATAACCCTGTGTGGCTAATGGCTACTCTATTGGATAGTATAGGTTTAAACTTGTATAAAAAGAAAATGAATAGAGAAGAAAGAAAAATTAATGATGATTATCAATAGTAACAATGTGATGAAGAACAGATGGTGACTATCAGAGGAGAGGACTTGCAATGAAAAGAGATATAAAAGTCTTGAGTCTGGAGTTGTAGAAATGATAGTGGGAATGGTCGATGGCATAGGGGAAGAACAAATGATAAATCTCCAAATCAAAAAATGGTCTAAACTTAATTAGTGTATTTTTTGGAAAGGGACTGGAATTTAATACTGAAATACAACATGAGGAACTGAATGTAGCTGGTGAAAAAGCAGTCATGACACTCCAAATTAATTCTGTGACTTAAAAAAAAGAACAGTTTCTGTGCCTTAAGCTGTTGTCAGAACAGTTTGAAATTACAGATAGCAATTTGTCTATTTTTGTTATTTTAAGCTAACTTAACCTGAACAGATGGTTTTATAGCTAATATCCTACTGGATTTAAGCAAGTAAGGATAAACTCACTGTTTTTGTAAGTGTATAACTTAGGGCTACTACAAAATAATTTTTTGAGAATTAGAAAAGGCATCACAAAACTTTTAACAGGTTGAATGAAGCAAAGATTTTATTCAACTGAATCGTATTTTTTATCTTTAGTAACAAATCATTCCAGAATTATGAACCATTTTCTTAGTTGAGGATAGCATAGCTAATTATAGTCCTAGAAAATTATAGTTCTCTCTTTTAGGAAGCAAAGTTGGAGTCTGGTGCTATTTATATTTAGGGGACTGACGTCTTAAGCTTTACATAACTGAAACGAATGCATCTGACTGCATTCCAAAACAGTGTCCACTAGATGGCAAGCTTGGTTACATTATTAAGATGGTTTATTTACCTTTTCAGGCAATCAGTCCCCTTTCCATCATCATTAAACGCTTTAATAATTGTCATCATTAGTAAAAGCAAAAATAAAAATAATGAAAATGCAACTGAATTTAAAGAGTAATATAAGGTATAAAATTCTAAATGAAATAAAACGTAAAAAGTTTGAAGGTGGTCCTAACTTTCTTAAATGTTTTATCAATTGCTTTATAGTCAACTAGACCAAGGATGGAGATAAAGATGATGTGACCATTCAGGGAGGAACCAGAGAGATCATTGGTCATATTTGTTTATTCTCTCTCTCTCTCTCTCTCTCTCTCTTTCTCTCTCTCTCTCTCTCTCTCTCTGTGTGTGTGTGTGTGTATGTGTGTGTGTGTAACAGAGTTCCTTTATTTTCTGTCCTTCAACTTTTCCTATTTCTTTAATAGTAAACATCATGAGAAAATCTCAAAAGGGCTATGTTCCATGGGCAGATCCAAACCCCACGAGGCTATTTTGTTCTGTGGTGAAACTGGAGACAGAATAGTTAGTCAGAAGTAGCAAGTCATGGTAATAAGGGAAACAAACATATATGTGTGGGAAGATCTTTTTCCTTAAGGTATTAGTGATGATTTTCCTTCTTAAGCCAAATGGTCACATGAGTGTTTTGTTTTATTGTAATTTATACTTCATGTGCATGTATGTGAATCCGTACCCAATATGTGTTTGTGAGTATGTATGACTTAAATATATGTTTCAATTTTAAAAAGTTGGCTCCCTGCATCTGTTGGCCCCCTTTTCTCTACAAACCCTAGCCATTCTGGAACTCCTGCCCTACTGTGGGAATTTTCACCAGATCTCAGAGTTGGAGGAATCATCTCTGTGTGCTATCATCTCCAGAGAACTTTGGAATATATTTTTCAAAGAAATGTTGCTATTGGTGGTGGTGTGGTTTGTCCTGGTACTCTATTCTTCAGGTATACAGGCACCAGTGGACTAGCCTGGTAACTAACTAGTATGGAATATTTTCTCCCCTTCTGGGGAAATACATTCTGAGTTCCAAATAATTTACATGAAAACAAACTTTCTCTTTCAAAAATAGGGAACCATTGAACATATTAAATTCAGAATCCTACATATAATCTCTTTTCAACTTCTTGGGATATGGGATTAGCAGTTGGGATATCAATTAAACTAGTGTTGAAATTTAGCCTTCTAAGAGCAAATTAGTAAAAGGAATTGAATTCTGGAGTCATAACATGAGGAATGTACAGAAAACTACATATAGCAACTAATTTTAATATATCATTTCATACAAATAGTTCAAACATTATAAGAATCATGTTGAGCAGAAAGGCCAGGGAGACTTGGAGACATAATAATTGGATTCCAGGAATACTGCAAAAGTTGTCTTGAAGCCCTGGAAGCCCATGTGAAAAGAGGAGAGCAGCTATAAGCACGGAGGCCACAGAGCAGGCAGGGCACTGACCTGCTTTCTTTGGCTCCAGATTTCAAACTAACAACCTATTCAAAGCTGAACTCACCTACTAGTAGAGTATTTGCAATTGGTAAAATATTCAGTATGTAATTATTCAGTAATTACATACTGAATATTTTAAACTTTTGTAATACATACTTTGTTATGCTTTGTATTACTATTGTGTTTCCTTACATTTTAATATACTGCTTTTTAAGATAATCTTAATCTTTTTATTGTCACAGAAGAATAATGCAAACCTGAAATCATTAAAGCCAGACAAGCCTGACTCTGAGGTAAGACCTATTCCTACATCGAATCTGCCTTTTACAGCAACTGTGATAAAGTCATTGTGATTAAAATATATGTTTTGTAGGAGCAAGCCAAGATAGCAAAGCTTGGACTTAAGCTGGGTTTGCTCACCTCTGACGCTGACTGTGAAATTGAGAAGTGGGAAGATCAGGAGAATGAGATTGTTCAATATGGACGGAGCATGTCCAGCATGGCCTATTGTCTGTATTTATTTACTAGGTAAATGTATTTGTATTTTTTAAAATCAGTATAATGATATCTGGTGTAAAGAAAAAGTTCCATGTTAAATCATTGATAGGTTTAAAGTTAGTATGAAATATATGGTAAAAAGACTAAAAGTAGTTACTATGACAATTTACTTAAGTGAATGCAACAAGAAGACACATGTATTTAATTAGGATTTAAACTTAGAAGGGATCTTTTGCTAGGTTTCTGCCCACTCTTTCCATAATTGAAATAATTTTACATCCTGTTTTTTATTATCCTGCATATTAATGCCTCTCGCAGCCAGCATCAGTATGTTAAGAAAACATGCCTTTCATGCCTTTATACAGTGATTGATTAGATACAGATGAAGATTGATTAGACACAGATCAAAGAGTAGAGCTATGAGGCCTATGTCAATAGTGTGCCAAATCTCTGTGAGTCAGCATTCATTATATAGAGAATTCCCCTAATGTTAATGTTATCTGACCTACATTCTCTGTCTTGTTCGTATTCCAAGACTCTTGATCAAATGCCTTGTTGATGTCAATGTTAGTCATATTTTGGTCTTCCATTATAGTAATCTATACATAAGGTATAGTAATTCTGCTTAGTTAAAATCAGTTATCTGCTCAATAATACATTCTAGGATTTTCTCAAGGAATAACTTCAAGCTTTTCACTTAGTTTCTGAAGTCTATCTTTTTCATTTTTGGAAACCTGGAAAATACTTGATATCTCCAGTTTTCTGACTCCTCTCCTACTCATTCTGATTTTGAAAAGTTATCCACAGTGGAACATACCTGCAGGTTGTTTCAGTATTCTAGAAACTGAAGCTCAATTAAAGTACTGAAGGATCTTTACAACTGTATGGGCTTTGGGACTCAATAAATAGCACCCCCTTTTCCCACTCAAGTTTTGAACAAAATGAAAAATAAGCAAAAGAATAGGTAGATAGGAGCTGGTAACATTTATATGGATAAAGCTGATCTTGAAGAATATAGTTTTATCAATAAGCAATAAAGTTTTGAAAAATGATCCCTAGAATTACAAAGTCTTACCTCCTAGGGACACAATGTATCTCTATAAAACATGTGGAAGACCAGTTAACTCTCAAAGGCAGCTTCACTTCCAAGAGAAAAAGGAGAAAAGAAAAGGTTAATGTGTTCAATTTATTTTTTGCAAAGTCACCAGAAAGACTGAAAAGATGAGCATTTGCCCTTGTATGGGATGGGACAGGTGAGGCAGCAGAGAAAAGTGAGTGATGCTGTGCTGGTGAAGGTTCCTTCCCATAGAAGGATTAGGAGTGGAGAAGACACAGTCCCAAGCTAGGAGGCGTCATTTTCCTCTTGATGATTTCTTCTACCTTTTCTAGAGAGAGAATTCTCTGGAAGGAGAAGGCAGAAATGATAGGAGTTAGAGATTTTGCTGCTGTTTAACTCTCATTTGTCAGTAGCTTGCTATATTTTCCATCATTGGAGATCATTCCTTCAGTGGTTTCCTTCCATTGTTCTTAACTGTTGATAGCAAGCTTCTCCTGTGATTGAGTCCCAACATGAATTTGACCTTTTTAAGTTCATACCTTTTTAAAATCTGATGACCCAGGCCTCCAAAAGAATGCAAAATGGAACTCCTGTGTTTGCCCACAATAAATTTGCACAGACTGACTGAAATAACAAAAATCTCTGCTTTTGGCGGGAATCTAGCTAGTTATTTCCATGGTGATGAAAATCATGCTTTAAAAAAATGTTTTTGATAGTAAGACTTGGAGGAATATATTATTACTTAATGAAATAATTTGATATATAAAATCTTCCCAAATAAAGGGTTCATCAGTAGACTTCTTTTGTTATTTATTTATTTATTTATTTATTTTTGAGACAGTCTCACTCTTTCACCCCAGGCTACAGTGCAGTGGATGACCTCAGCTTACTGCAACCTCCACCTCCCAAGTTCAAGGAATTCTTATATCTCAGCCTCCCGAGTAGCTGAGATTACAGGCACACATCACGACACCCAGTTAATTTTTGTTGTTTGATTGTTTGTTTGGTTTTTGTTCTTTCGGAATGGAGTCTCGCTCTGTCGCCCAGGCTGGAGTGCAATGGTATGATCTTGGCTCACCGTAACCTCTGCCTCCCAGGTTCAAGTGATTCTCCTGCCTCAGCCTTCTAAGTAGCTGTGATTACAAGTGTGTCCTACCATGCCCGGCTAATTTTTGTAGTTTTAGTAGAGATGGGGTTTCACCATGATGGCCAGACTGGTTCTTGAACTCCTGACCTCAGGTGATCCACCTGCTTTGGCCTCCCAAAGTGCTGGGATTACAGACATCACCCACCGCGTCTGGCCTAATTTTTGTATTTTTAGTGTAGTTGGGGTTTTGTCATGTTAGCCAGAATGGTCTGACCTCAAGTGATCTGCCCACCTTCGCCTCCCAAAGTCCTGGGATTACAGACATGAGCCATTGTGTCTGGCCAACTTTTACAAAAAAAGATTATAGCATCCCCTTAATTAGTTCTTATTTCAGAGTATTTCAGAATGACATGCTCAGAATTTTCTGTTTCAATGTCAGAACAGTAGAGTGTATCCCGTGGACACTGGGAAATGTGAGGGGTTGGACTGTGAGGGGAAGCTCAGTGGAATGGGACTTCTTCCTAGAATGTAGTTATTGGATAGCACTGATGACGTTCAAGAAAAGAAAATGGATTTTTCTGTAATAGATAAATACCTTGTGGTGGTTTTTCCAGGCAGATTTATAGCCCCTCCTCAGAGTACTGTTTAAGGTTATCTTAATAATTTATATGATTTCCTAATGAGTTACATGTAATCATTCATATTTCTTAATAATTCATATATTTAAATTTTCTAGTGCCATATAGTTTTTTAAAATTTCAATTTTACTACTACCTTACAGTTTTAATGTGGTTTTTGCTTCATAATTTCATTTGACCTTCACAATAGTTTGTCAGAGAACAGGAATGATATGGTCACATATCCTATCTCTCTCTCTTTTTTTTTTAATTGTACTTTAGATTCTGGGGTACATGTGCAGATCATGCAAGATTGTTGCATAGATACATTCATGGCAAGGTGGTTTGTTGCCACCATCCCCCCATCACCTATCCCTGGCATTTCTCCCCATGTAATCCCTCCCCCACCCTCCATCCCACTATCCCTCCCATAGCTCCCCCAACATACTCCAGTGTGTGATGCTCCCCTGTTTGTGTCCAAGTGTTCTCATTGTTAAATACCTGCCTATGAGTGAGAACATGCGGTGTTTGATTTTCAGTTCTCGTGTCAGTTTGCTGAGAATGATGGTGGAAGTTTCATCCATGTCCCTACGAAGGACACAAACTCATCATTTTTTATGGCTGCATAGTATTCCATGGTGTATATGTGCCACATTTTCTTTGTTCAGTCTATCATTGATGGGCATTTGGGTTGGTTCCAGGTCTTTGCTATTGTAAACAGTGCCACAGTGAACATGCCTGTGTGTGTGTCTTTATAATAGAATGATTTATAGTCCTTTGGGTATATACCCAGTAATGGGATTGCTGGGTCAAATGGAATTTCTATTTCTAGATCCTTGAGGAATCGCCACACTGTCTTCCACAATGGCTGAACTAATTTACACTCCCACCAACAGTCTAAAAGTGATCCTATTTCTCCACATCCTTTCTAGCATCTGTTCTCCCGATTTTTTAATGATCACCATTCTGTCATGAGATGGTATCTCAATGTGGTTTTGATTTGCATTTCTCTAATGACCAGTGATGATGAGCATTTTTTCATGTTTGTTGGCTTCATATATGTCTTCTTTTGAAAAGTGTCTGTTCATATCCTTTGCCCACTTTTGGATGGGTTCGTTTCTTTTTTTTTCTTGTAAATCTGTTTCAGTTCTTTGTAGATTCTGGATATTAGCCCTTTGTCAGATGGGTAGATTCCAAAAATTTTTTCCCATTCTGTTGGTTGCTGGTTCACTCTAATGATTATTTCTTTTGCTGTACAGAAGCTCTGAAGTTTAATTAGATCCCATTTGTCTATTTTGGCTTTTGTTGCCATTACTTTTGGAGTTTTAGTCATGAAGTCCTTGCCTATGCCTATATCCTTAATGGTTTTGACTAGGTTTTCTTCTAGGGTTTTTATGGTGTTAGGTCTTACATTTAAGTCCTTAATCCATCTGGAGTTGCCCAGTTTCTGGTTTCTGCACATTGCTAGCCAATTTTCCCAACACCGTTTATTAAACAGGGGATCCTTTCCCCAGTGCTTGTTTTTGTCAGGTTTTTCAAAGATTAGATGGTTGTAGATGTGTGGTGTTGCTCCAGAGGCCTCTGTTCTGTTCCATTGGTCTATGTCTCTGTTTTGATACCAGTACCATGCTGTTTTGATTACTGTTGCCTTGAAGTATAGCTTGGAGTCTGGCAGTGTGATGCCGCCAGCTTTGTTTGTTTTGCTTAGGATTGTCTTGGCTATGCGGGCTCTTTTTTGGTTCCATATGAAGTTTAAAGTGTTTTTTTCCGGTTCTGTGAAGAAGGTCATTGGTAATTGGATGGGGATAGCATTAAATCTATAAATTACTTTGGGTAGTGTGGCCATTTTTACAATATTGATTCTTCCTAACCATGAGCATGGAATGTTTTTCCATCTGTTTGTGTCTTCTCTTATTTCCTTGAGCTGAAAAGCAACTTCAGCAAAGTCTCAGGATACAAAATCAATGTGCAGAAATCACAAGCATTCCTATACACCAATAACTGACAAACAGAGAGCCAAATCAAGAGCGAACTCCCATTCACAATTGCTACAAGAAGAATAAAATACCTAGGAATACAACTAACAAAGGAGGTAAAGGACCTCTTCAAGGAGAACTACATCTCCTATCTCTTTACTGGCAGAACTGGTTGCTACTAGATTCCAGATCTTCTGACTTATCCCTAGTCCATTGCTGTTCATAATGCATCTGGTTATTCTTACTGTAATTTACTTTTCATTTTTTAGAGTTCTTAATTCTTCTTGGTAATTTTTAATCTGCTGCTCCTCAATCTTCTGATGAAAATGGTAGCACAAATATTACTATGATTACTTTATTAACTTACAATTGAAAGTTAAGTGATATGCCTCATCAAGGTTAGATAACTGAGTTACTACTAGAGTTGAAATCAGTATTAGAAGTGAAATGTCCTGACTTTTGGTTTGATCCTTTTTCCATTATGTAACAAAGGCTTTTGGTCAAGACAATCAGATATCACAGATTTAATTTATGAAGCAAAATGAAAAAGGTTAAAAAGAGAAATGGAACTTAAATATAACTTGTCTGTTTAATTTTTTTATATTATGAAATTAACATATATAAGGTTTACTTGGGCAAAAATTATCCTAAGAAATAATTGTTAAATATTAAAATTGCTTTAAGAATAAACTTACAATATTTTCAGTCTATTCATATTATTCTTCAAAATCTGGGATCTGTTAATTCACAAATGCTCTAAAATTTTAATATTATAGAAACCAATTTTGAGGTAATAACTTTTTGTTACCTTTTTAACAATTCATTTTATTTTAGAGGTGAGGGGCCACTGAAAACTTCCCAGGATTTAATTCATCAACTAGAGGTATGCTTTGTTTCCATTGTATGCTAGTACTTTAATTTCAGGCTAAAAGTGGGTAATAACTGTTTTCTAGATGATTTATTAGACCATGTGTATATACTTACATCTGTACATACCTGTGTGCTACAGAGAACAGTAGAAAAGTAGAAAGGTAGATGGCTTGCAGTGACATTTTGCAAAACTTTCCTGATCTCATTGGAAACTTAAATATTATGAGCATAAAGTAGAATGAGCTTTATTGATAGTCAATAGATGCAATAATAAGCTTTATGTTTACATAAGTGGATGAAAATATCCTGCAAGCAGATACAAATCCAGAGTTCTAGAAAGACTTTTGGCCTCTTCATTATTGAATTGGATAAAATATATTGATTACATGAGATAATATATGAGAAAGCCTCTGTTAAAAGGCTTAAGACTATTAGAGGGTATTAAGTACATGTTAGTTTCCTTCTTTCCTTCTGTATTCATGATGATTTAGGGCATTAATGGAGAGACAGGTAATGCTAACACCCACTCTTATGCCATGTGTCTTAACAGGACTTAACAGGACATAGGTCCATCTGTAATTCTACTCCCTCTAGTTAGAGGCTTTAGATTGGCAGGTGGGTTGCAAAATTCCTTTTATGTTTTCCCTGATCCCCATGTTAGCCTGTTTGTCTCTCTACAACCAAGAGCATTCTTGTATGTAAATTTGAAATTTCTTTCACTTGATCACTCATATAGTTTCCTTTGGCATTCCCATTACATTTAAGGTTTGGAATCTCTATCACTTTATTACTCTTACATAGTTTTCTTTGGCATTCCCATGCACATCCACTTGAAACTGCAGAAAAGGGATTTCAGCTTAAGAGGATGATTATAAACATAATCAGAAGTATGATAGAAAACATGTCTTCTGGATTTTTCTGTAGACTATAAATGAGCTATTTCCCTTAAGATGGTTGAAATAAATTCTAGATTTTTTTTTTTTTTTCAGTTTGGCCCAAGTCCTTTCTGTTATACCACCCTGTAGGGGTGTTTTACTACAAAAGATCTACTACTTACCTTCTTCCTATGTGAGCTTAGTCATTAAACCAATGTCTATTGAATTGTCTCCAAACTGTGATTAACATGAAATGGCATACTTCATTCAACAAGTATTTATGGAACTTGTGGTATATGCCAGACCTGGGGGGAAATAGCCCTGTGGAGAAAAGTGAACAAAGCAAGCTCCTGCCCCTACAGAACTTATGATGTAGCAGCAGAATATAGACAATAAAAATCTAAGTATTCCATGCACATATGTAAATACTTGGAGATAAAATCATGTAGGACTAGAATACAGAGGTAATAGAGGGGTGATCAGAAAAGACTTCTCTAAGGAGGTAATGTTTGTGTACAGACAGTAATGAAGTGAGAGAGTTGGATGGATAAATGAGGGAGAGGATTTTAGATGGCCAAAACAAGTGCAAAGCCCTGAGATGCAGGGGTAGGACTGGGTATATCAGAAGAGTCAGGAGGCAGTTATAGATGGGAGTGAAGTGAGCCAGAAGGAAAGTGGTAAAATATGATGCTTCTGTAGGCCATGGGGAGAACTTTGACTTTTTTTCCCTGCCAAGGATGACTGTAAACCCATTCAGGGTTTTGAGAAGTATGATCCAATTATGTTTTAAGTAAGGTTTTTGGCTTGAGCAGCAGAGTAAGTGGTAGTGCTATTTACTGAGACAGGGAACACTCAGCGAGAACACCAGATTTAGAGGATGGAAATGGAGCATCTTGTTTTGCACAGGTTGAGTACAAAGGTCAGGTAGAATATACACTTGCCCCGCCCCACCCACCCATCTGCAGGTTTTGCATCTGCAGAGTCAACCAACTACGGATTGAAAATATTCAAAAAAGTGTAAAACAGGCTGGGTGCAATGGCTGTCTCCTTGGGAGACCAAACTGGGAGGATCACTTGAGTCCAGGATTTTGAGACCAACCTGGGCAACATAGTGAGACCTTATCTCTACAAAAAATAAAAATAAAAAAAAAACCTAATAGGGCATGGTGGCACACACTATAGTTCTAGCTACTCGGGAGGCTGAGGCAGGAGGATCTCTTGAGCCTGGGAGGCCAAGGTTGTAGTGAACTGTGATCACAATACTTCACTCCACTCCACTCTGAGCAACAGAGTGAGACCTTGTCTCAAAAAAAAAAAAAAAGGAAAGAGGAAGAAAACCAATAAAACATAACAACAGTAAAAAAAAAAAAAAAAAAGAAAGAAAAAAAATACATTTTAACAGGTTAGAGTTCCAAGGGGGGAAAAATAATACAGTATAACTACAATTTACTTAGCGTTTACATTAACTTAGGTATAGAGATGAGATGATTTAAAGTATATGGGATGATGAGTGTAGGTTATATGCAAATACTACACTGTTTTATGTAAGAGACTTAAGCATCTACAGATTTTGGTATCCTTGGAGAGATCTTCAAACCAATCTCCCATGGATCCTGAGGGATGATTATATGAGACTGATGTCAGGATAGTTCAGGAGTGGAGACAGAGACTTGGTAGTTATCAGCTTTAAGGTAGTTTTAAAACCATCATACTCTATGAGACAGACATGGATTTTGTCCCCAAGGGGTGTATAGGCTAGAAGGAAAGAGAAAATTTGCAGAATAGAAAGTGGTAACATGAAGTGATAAGGAACACATGGGGAAGTGAATCATTTAGTTTGGTTGGAATCTAGATGTAAAGCTTACTGGTTTCCCTTTTAAAGGGAAGGTTACAAAGTATGACTTTATCCAATGATGGCAAAGTGTTAAGCCTTTTGAATAGAGGGTAAAAATTAACCCTGGAATTATTGCCTCTTCCTTCTTAGTATTCTTTATTATAAAGACCTATTATTTTTATTCACAAATCACTCTCAGTTTTTTCCTGTGCTCTTCATTATTACTACTGCCACCTAAAGCTAAGTCTTCCTCCCTTTACTCCCTTGGTATCTCACTCTAAAATATTCTGCAAACCATTTTAACATCATATCCTAAATACTTCTATCTTACTTAGCCAACCTTATTTTTCACTGTTCTTCTCCATCATCCTGTTCATCTCACTAAATTATAGAATTCATGGTACATGGTGACTAGTGAAAATTAATCTGAAAAAACAGCAACAAACCTGGATTGGTTCTCTCAAATATCTGGTTATGGAATATGTATGGGTGACAAATTTTGTCTTACCTAGATGGAAGTGGGAAAGTCCTAACCCTTTTGACCTCATGTTCCAAAACTCATCATCCTTTTATAATTGGGCATATTTGAGATGAGCTCTAGGTCCCTCGAGTAATCTAGACATAATTTGTGTGGCTGAATATCAGGTCTTTGTGACCCTCCAGAATAATTGGAAGTCTGGTGTAGAGAAGCCTCTCCAGGGATGGATTCTGCATCTGGTCTGTGAAAACTCCTTCTGAAACATTTAAACCCTTGTGTATTCCTGGTACAGTGAAAAGTTAAGGAGTTCCATGACAGACTTTTTATGGCTAGGCTTTATTTTTAAAATTCTATGTAAAAATTATTAGTGTATTTCTTACCAACTATCCATAAAAATCAGTCTAAAATAGGTTGTTTTCTCTTTCTACCAGGTTTTTGCTGCAGAGGGTTTAAAGCTTACCTCCAGTGTACAAGCTTTTTCAAAACAGGTAACATATGTCCACCTGTCTGGTGCTGGTGGTGGTATCATGTATACCCACTTTGGAGGTATAATATCAAGGTATAAAGGTATTTAAGGTATTAAAGATGGAGTTTTGTTGTGGGCTGTTATAACTTGCTAAATTACATTTCAGCTGAAAGACGATGACAAGCTTATGCTTCTCCTGGAAATAAACAAGCTAATTCCTCTATGCCACCAGCTCCAGACAATAACTAAGTCTTCTTTGCAGAATAAAGTATTTCTAAAGGTAAAGTATTTTGAAGTTAAACTTTCACACATCTATCTTTATCAGGTTAGTGAAAGCCCCTCTTTCTTCAAATAAAGCGTTAATACCCACAGAAGGGCAATTTATTTCCTTTTTTCATGCCTTGTCTACAAGAATCATTTATTATCTACCATTGTAACTGACCCCAGGGAGTAGCAGATTCACCAAATAGTTTTTTGACATGATTAATTCCATAGCACTGAGCAGCTACTATACAATTCTGAAGTCATTACCTGTCTAACTAGGACACAGGTGCCTCAAGAGTCTGGTCTCCTATAATTTGTCTGAGAGAATATGGGCTTGTGCCCACAAAGCAGAGTGCAGGGGATTGCAAAGGATGGGATTTAATTCCACTATTTGGGATGTTTTGAGAAGTCCATAAACAGCCTGCAGTAGAATGATTGATTTTCCACCCACTCTTTCTGCTGGGGTTCCATGAGATAGTGACCCCTGTACCTGTGTCCTGGGGCTTTAAGTCAGCTCATGTGCCTAAATCCATATACCTTTCAAGATCCTTTAGATTTCCATATGGAGAAAATTTTATTATGTTAAAACTAAATAAATGATAAAGTTTTTAAAGTACTACTGTTAGAATATCATGTGCATGCTTTTTGTCACTGTAGGTTGACAAGTGTATTACAAAGACAAGATCCATGATGGCTCTCTTAGTTCAACTTCTTTCACTTTGTTATAAACTGCTGAAGAAGGTGAGGTAGTTTTTCTATTTAGACTCATACTTTAAAAATTGGTTTAAGGGAAAATGCAATAGAAAATAGTTACTGCTTAATTTTGTCATTTTTTTTTTTCAGAGTGAAACAAACTAATTGTCTTAACTCTTTCCAGCTTCAGACGGAAAATAACAGATGGGTCTCAGTTACAAATAAGGACACCATGGATGGTAAAACTTGAGAAGCTTTTAGGGTCAGATCTCTGGAACATCATGTGGTGAAGCTGACATTTTTAAAAAGCAAATGATCCTTTATCTTTTCAGAAATTCATCAGTTTTATAAAGAAAACAGTAATGAAATTTTGCTTTATTTTCTGATCATGAAACTGATTGTGAAGCTTTTTGACAACTAATAAATGCCATGGTAATTGCTAGATTCTAATTGTAGTGTGATTTTAAAATTGCACTAGTGTTCTTTAAAAGTCAAACCAAATATACCAACTGTCTCAATGACAATTTAATCCAAAGATGGTATTTTGAATATGTGCTCACCTTTGGCATATTTTACCCTAACTGTTTTCTTTCTTTCTTTATCATCTGGAACACTAATTTCAGCAGGAAACATACATAGTCTGGGTGAACGCAGGGTTCTCCTTAAACCCGTGGACTCTTCTTCAATCCCTGTTTTCTGATGACCCTGTCCCAGATCATCCATGCAAGCAGCAAACTTTTTTCCCTAATAAGCATTTTATACAGCAGGGGTGGGTCTGCTGTGCTATATCTCTTGCCTACTCCCAAAAGCAAGGTAATGGAACCCCACAGAATCTTGGAACAACTCCTGGAGGATATGAGATGTGTTTTTGGTTCTAGTTCTAGCATAGCTGGCCAGCCTGCCCTGAATGTTAGCTAGAATTCTAAGCCTATCTTATAGATTTAAAAAATATTTTGAACTTTCTCAGTATTGATTAATGGAATGGAAGATAAAGACAGAATAAGGAAACCAAGAAGCTATTTAAATTCAGAATAATCACTTTATATATATATATATATATATATATATATAAAGTGATTATTCTGAATATATATATATATATATATATATATGGTTCACCATAAAACAAAAAACATCTTTCTTTAGTCTTTTTAATTGAGGAGTTTGAAACTTTTCTTGCTTTTGTGGGTGGGGTTATGATTGAGGATCTGGTTTATAGATCTCCTCATGATAAAGTATGGCCACTTTGTGTTGGACTCCAGTCATAGTGCTTGTATCCTAATGCTTTGACATTCATTTGGAAATCTTAACAGGGCACATCAGTTGCCAAATGGCAGTAGATAATATAAGCTTATCTGATTATCTTTATCTGAGTCAGCCACCACAATCAGTATTCACAAAAGATCCATACGGAAGAACCACAGTACTGCCAATTGACCATAGCTAGTCAATATTTTATTGAAGAAAATTTTCACTGTAGTCCTTTCGGAGAAAATGTGATACACTCAGCTTTGTTAATAACCTTTGTAAAATCCTTCCTTACATAGTTCAAAATCATTAAGAACAATTTTTTATTCTCTGAAACCAAAGTATTCTTTTAAATTATAACATAAATTTAGAGAATGATGTGAAATATTATACACAATTCTTTTACTATGTTTAGTGTCTTTGTGCTACTTAAAGTGAGGATCTGCTGTTTGTGTTTATATTTTCAGCTAATAGCACCATCATGGAGGTGTTTTTCCACTTACTACATGTATCGTGTCTGATGGGTATATTTAGGGGGCTAGTCATGCTGGCACTCAGATTATAAGTTTTTTCCTATGAACCAAAATGATCTTTAAGTTTCATTTACAAAATCATACTTAAAAATCCCAACCCCCATTTGCACTTTCATTAGAGAATTTTTTGCACACCTGAAAAAACAATATTCTCTAATGAAAGAGCAAGTGGGGGTTGAGAAGGGGTAATTTATGACTTCAACAGCATAAGAGGATAGATAACCAATGGAATTTATACATCAAATGATTTCTTCTATATAAAAATGTATTTTACTAAAAAAACAGGGATATTGAAATATGTTACAGCCCTTACAGAAAAATAGGTTTTATAGTCCTTTTATTTGAAATTCAGTGTAAATCAACCTTAAACTATAAATTCATAGTTTTTTTTTTTTTTAGCTTAAATGATGTGAAAGCATTTGTTCCACTCAGAGCCTTCTATGCTTCTATGCCTTTGAATGACATATTCTCAGTAACTTCTTAGCTGGTAGAGTATTGAGACTGAGTGACTACGTTGTGCATATTTCAAGAATTAGCTTTCCACTATATTATAACACATTTCCTAGAAAAGCCTTTGTATTTTTCATAGCCTCTTCACATATCCTTCATTTAAGAAGTCATAGTGTTACAGTTTTACTTTGTTTCAGAGGCGAAGGCCATCTTGCTGGCATAAGGGGGACAGAAGATATAATATACTCTACACTCCAGTCTCTTCCCTATAACCTAAAAGGGAGAAGAGCTGAGGCAGATGGGCTAGGACTAGGCTTTTTGGTAGACACATTATAGCAGATTGGGTAAGAAGGGTGGATTAGGTTTTTTTAAACTTCAAACTGATAGGCAAGTGAGGCAAAAGCAATAACTCTATCATAATGTTCAAACAGAAGTAAGTTAAAATGCAGTATAGTTATCCCTTGGTTTACATAGGGGATTGGTTCCAGGACCTTCCACATATACCCAAATCTGCACATAACTCAAGTCCTGCAGTTGGCCCTTCAGAACCTGAGTATATGAAGCTGCTCTGTAAGAGAGTTTCTTGTTTGTTAACGATATATTTTTGATTCGTTTATAGTTAAAAACAATCCATGTAAAAGTGGACCCTTGCAGTTCAATCCCATGTTGTTCAAGGGTCAGATGTATTTACTTTGGGATTATGGGATGATGGGTAAATTATTTTTACTTGGCTACTTAAAACTTCTCTGTATTTTCTAAATTTTCTTCAAAGAGCTTTGTTTGTTTGTTTTTAATCAGAAAAAAACCCTTGCATGCCAGTTGTTAGATGCAAGAGAACAGCATGAGTACACAGGCAGCCAGATCTGGCAGGCTGAAGGCAAATGGGAATCAAGGCTCATTATGCAAGACAGAGAGAGAAAATGAAGTTAAGTGAAGCACTAGGCCTCCCCTGCATACGGCTGGCGGTTAGGCATGCTTTGCATATACTGCTTCTTTTCCTTTAGTGCACAGATGGTTTAGGCCAGGTAACAAGAATCCCGCCTTGCTTTTTGCTCCATGTCAATCCTCATGACGTAGCTGTTGTGGCATTAATGCGTTTCACCATGACTTCTTCATATTGTTTTTGTGTCAGTAACCCTTCTGTTATACTTTTACTTTCTTCAAATTTCGGTAACACAACTGCAATGTAGCCTTCGGTAGATGGCTGGAAAGGAAAGAACATTTAGTACTGTCAAATGATGAAAAAAAATCCAATGAAAGGTACGTGGACAAATCATACTTTTTCTCTCTTTTACCTTTTCTTGAAGAATAGATGGCTTATGGAGAATGTTTTCATTCACTTCCATCAAACGTCCTCTAACACAACTATTAAAAAAATTTAAGATTTCAACATGTTAGTAAAAAAAAAAAAAAAAAAAAAAAAGGAATTCTTTTAAAGAAAAAAATATTGCCTCCCTTTGGTCTCCTAAATAGTGGCTAAAAAGTTACTCACCTAGATACAGTATATTCTTCACCATCTGAGCAGTAAATCTTACAGAGAGGTGCAAGTTCTGTTAGAAACTGTGCCCCCTGTGTAATGAGAGAGAAGAAGTAATCAATTGATGGACATTTCCACTTTCCTTTGAGAAGTAGCCCTTAGGTGTATAACAGGATGTATTCCTGGAACTGGTGTTTTAAATCAAAATGACTTAAGTATATAAAATCCCTTTATTAACTTCAAAACATATATGAATGTAAGTACCTACTATGTGCCACATGCCATCCTAGGCTCTAGGGATAAAAAGCTAAGACACATGATATATGGGAATTTAGTTACAGACTAACAATATATTTTATCAACTGCAAATGAGAAGGTTACATATAACCAGGTATAAGGATATCAAAAGTGTGGGAAAATCCATCAACAAGAAATCATATAAAATTCAACATGACAGAGTATGACAGCAATATTGTATAACGTTAGTTTTATTAAGATTCCTACCTCATTTTAATATTAGAACTTAATAACTAAAGGAACTTATTTACCAGGATCAATTACTAAGGTTTTTTTGAAGAAGGGATATTTTTATTTTTTTTGTCCTCCTCTCTCTTTTTAAATCCCTAGTATGTTAGTAAGGGATATTTTTCTAATTAAGAAAAACAAAAACAAAGCATGCAATTGAGGAAATGTGGAAAATAAAGTTTTAAGTAGCAAAATAATTTACCCATTAGTCAATACTACATTTTGGTGTATATGTGTTTGAATGTTATAGGATGGTTATTGTTTCATGTACTCCAATACATGGATATACCTGGCGAGGCTCTGACAAGTATCTACAGGGAGGCTCATGAAAACCAGTGCAGGCATGTTTCATGTGTTGCCCTCTTTTTCCTCAGGAATTTTTCCTGTAGTGGACATAGGCATTTGAGGTTAAGATGCTCTTCTTTATGACCCTTTTATTTAACCACTCCAAGCATTTTTAGATGGGATTCAGATATTACTACATTAGCTTCACTCCTCTGGACATGCATTCTTCATTTCAAAATACTAGAGTCATTGTGACTGTCTGCTTCTGGAAGGAAGGGGATGGCTTGTGTCAAAAGAGCAGACACAAAAGAGCTAGGTCTGTGCCAAAAGAGCAGAAGTGTTTGGATGCCTTTTTATCACCTCCTTTGGGAGAATGACTGGCAGTTCTGAGATCCAGTGAAAACTTATCTGTAGTGGGTTGAATATGCAGGTTCCTCTCTGTTCACTTGTAACAATAGTGTTACTTTTTTTTTTTTTTTGAGACAGGGTCTTGTTCTGTCATCCAGGCTGGAGTGCAGTGGTACCATCATGGCTCACTGCAGCCTTGACTCCTGTGCTTAAGCAATCCTCCCACCTCAGCCTCCTGGGTAACTGGAACTATAGGTGCATGCCACCAGGTCCAGCTAAGTTAAAAAAAATTGTTTTCTTGATAGAAATGAGGTCTTGTTATGTTGCCTAGGTTTGTCTCAAATTCCTGGCCTCAAGTGATCCTCCCGCCTCGGCTTCCCAAAGTGCTGGGATTATAGGCATGAGCAACTATACCTGCCTTAAGTGTTACTACTATGGACCGAGATTTATCATAGAAACTTCAGAAGTCTTAAGTGTTACACTTATTGTAACTTGTAGACTTTATCTTTTAAGAAAGATGCCTGCGTTTCTAAGTCCACTAGTTTCTTAAGTGAGGAAAAATCAGTAATTGTAAGGTACATTATTAGGGGACTTCAGGCCTACAAAGGGGGGTTTAAGTAAGGGTCCCCTGGAATAGTGAGAGCAATCAACTCTTAGTATAAGCTCAGTAAATGAAGGACTTAAATCATTCACAGGATCTTTCCCAACCAGTGGGTTTGTCAAGACATTTTAATATGTCATTAAATTCTCCTTGGTGTGATACTCTTTTAATAATCTGTCCATCTGTCCATCTTGTGTAGAGTTATAGAGGATATAGAATTCTGTATAACTGAGTATTGTGTGCAGGTACAGGGGGTGGGTAAATGTGTATTACACTGACAATACTTTAGAAATGGAAAAATAGTAAGGAGAAATATATATTTTCTTGTATTCATGTTTTTGTTGTTGTTGTTGTTGTTGTTGTTTTGTGGGGGGAGACAGAATCCCACTCTGCTGCCCAGGCCTGGAGTGCAATGGCACGATCTCAGCTTACTGCAACTTCCACCTTCTAGGTTCAAGCCATTCTCCTGCCTCAGCCTCCTGAGTGGCTGGGATTACAGGTACTCATTACCACGCCTGGCTAATTTTTGTATTTTTATAGAGATGGGATTTCACCATGTTGGCCAGGCTGGTCTTGAACTCCTGACCTCATGATCCACCCACCTTGGCCTCCCAAAGTGCAGGGATTATATGTGTGAATCACTGTGCCTGGCCCCCCCCCTTTTTTTTTTTCTTCTTACTCCCTTGGGAATTTTTTTCTGTTTAATTTATATATGGAAATATATGGTAAAGAAGAGTTGGTCACATATATTTTACAGAACTCAAGATACTAATTTAATACAACTAGAAGCAATAAAATATCTTGTTATATTGCTATTAGAGTTCTCCTTTCAAAGGCCTGCCTTCCACCTCCTCCATCCTGGGCATTATAGGGATAATAGCACAGAACGTAATATAACAGATATTACACCTCCTGAGATACCTAATTTTTGGGAGTCTGAGAATTTCTTTAGGTTAAAGTGTACCTAAAATCAGCACCTCAAACTGCTAGAGAAGTATGCTAAGCATATGCTACTGGATTCTAAGGTTCATTGTATCTATCATCACCATGAATATAGAGGATGTAAGTAGATAATCACAGAATTACAGGAACATACCCGCTTAAATTTCCCAGAGACCTTGTTCTGAAGTCTGCTACAGTTGGTACTGATCTGATAGGAAATGCTTTTAATTGTTTTTCCACTTTGAAGAACTGGATGAGATTCTGCCAATGTGATGACACATATTCTACAAGGAGAAAAAAAAAATGGTCCTGTGTAATTGCTTGGAATAATAATTTTTCCTCCCATAAATCCTATTTGAATAAGAATATATGAACTGGTATTTGTTTAGTCAAACTATCATCTTCCCCCTTTTTTCTCTGGTTATTACTGGAGCATAACTGTAGAATGGAGAATACAATAATAAAAGAGAAAACGAGATTGAATTTCTTTCCCAGGAAAGGGAAGTGTGTCAGAGGTCTTTAGGTAGGGTAGCACTGGGGTAGAAGACAAAGAATATGCCTGTGTATACGAGATACCATATATTTCTCTATCATAGCCCTTTCTGTGGGCTCTAACAGTTTAGTAGTTGGGCACAGGCTGGCCACTTTAGGTAGCAGCTGATGATGTGGTCCTCCATTTGGATGTTTGAGTAATCAAATTTATTTGTTGAGAGTGGCCAGGCACTGGAATATTCATTCTTGCCAAACTCCTTTAATAATACCATTTCAACACAGTAGAAGATAATTAATGCACGTTTGTTTAGTGAACATTTGTTCAATCCAAGACAATACCAGGCAAAAACAGCAGGCTACAATACCAGAAGAAAAAAGTTTTTGATCATTTAAAATTCCTAATTTGCTTACCGGTTAGAGTGCTGTAGTATACAGTGATCCTCACAAGATTTTCCTTTGACATCTAGAAATAAATGAGTCTGAAATCAATATTTACTACCACTATGTGGTACTTTCTTTGGGTCATGGAGATAGTTAATAATGAAGATGACACATACATGCTACGTGCTGATCACTGGTATCCCTTCATTACTCAAAAAGACATACTTAAAGGCTTCCTATAAAATATTTAAAGAGCCCTGGCCCACACAGAATAATTTACTCAATGTTAAGGTAATTAATTCCTTGCTCCATCTTATTTTACCCTCACTTCAAAATGAGTACACACAGCATTTTTACTAAGAAAATCCAATTAGCATCCCATTCTTTATGATATAGCACTATATTTTTTTGGTGGTGGTTTCCAGGACTGTCCTGATGTTGGTGCAGCATGTCCGACATTCTGGGAAACCCCTCAGTCATGGGTGAACTGGGACAGTTGGCCACCCTATTTTGGGCCAACAGAAAATATGCTACAATGTATTTTTTAAACTGAGTATACCTATTATCACTGAATGAAAGGAAGAAACTAGGGGTTAGCGGAGAGTCCTCAACGATGCTCCCGCCACTGGTACTGCTTACACAAAAAGAATACCTGCTTCTAAGTGGCAGATGAACAATACCGGTCTCCTTAAGTAAATGTGTAGATTTTGCCCCTCAATCCCTCCAGGCACTTAAGGACTGTTGTAACTTAGTCCTCTGCCTACCTCCGGGGCCTCCGTTTAGAGTACTCATCTTCCGCGAGCAACACCCTAGAGCTCGCACTGCAATCGCTGGCCCCAGAATGTGCCCTGCTGTATTTCAGGCCACCAGGTCTTTGAAAATGCCATTTCCTGGGCCTAGACGGAACACAGAAGTCCAGTTCCTTCTGACGCGGGGAGGGAGCGCCAGGGAGAGCGCGCGTGGTTTATGATCTGTCAACGTAGCCTCCACAGCATTAGGCCAATGCAGCCAATCAGAGATCAACATTACTCCTCACTTACCTGCTTTGTACCAGCGAGTGAAGTACCGATCCACGAGCGAAGGCACCGCCGGCTCCGCGGCTTCGGAATCGGTAGCCATGGCGACCTCCGGCGCCGCCACCCCAGCCCTCCCGGACCCAAGCGCTTTCACCGCGCAGCCAGGACTAGAAGTGCTCTTCCGGCGCGCGGCGTCTGTTGTGCGCACGCGCGCTGCTCCCTGCTCCGCAGGCTCCGCCCCCCCATTGCTGTGCTTTGAAGTCCTACATCAAAACAGATCAAATACAAAAGTAGGGCAGGTGGGCAAGGGGACAGAGGGAGAGCGGATGCGACCAATGTAGCTCCTCCACCTCTACGGTGCCAAGGCTACAAAGAAGGCCAGCCGCCGTAGGTGACCGGGGAAGCCGGCCAGGCCACGCCCCCTCCGCCTGCGGTGACGTCACTCACGCGCCGAGTGCTGGGCCCGCCCTGTTGACGCGACCCCTGCGCCGCTGGCGTCTCTAGAGTGCTGCAGCCTTTACTCACGGAGGGCTCCTCCACCTCAAGAGATCTGGGGCCCTTCCTGAGAGAGTGGGAGCCGCGGACAGAGGCACGTGTGCAATTCGGAGCGGACTCTGGGTAGCCGGCTGCGCGTGGCTGGGGAGGTGAGGCCGGACGCACCTCTCTTTGGGGGTCCTTAGGTGAGCGATCCATCCAGGGTAGAGACACGTATTGGACCCCTCCGCCAGCGATGTTCTGGTGAAGGAGACCCCGAGGCTCCTCTGCCTGCTGCGGGCCGGGGAGTGAAGTGCGGAGTGCACCACCTCTCTCCTAGAGCCTTAAATCCTTTCTGCAGTCTTGCCACCTGTTCGGTCGGGGGAGCTGGGAGGCGCGAAAGCCCGGGGATGCCTGCTGCGCCTCCATCCGCACTTAACCCAGACTCCTGCTTTCATGCAGGGGATGGATAATAACGCTGAAAGCGAGAGCATTAACCCACAGTGGAAGGCGGCGGTTAATAGAGGTTTGTTAATGTGGTGCTGGTCCGTTCTCGCGGCTGCGACTTTTTCGTGGAGGTGGTGTCCCCTGTGCTTCTCTGTCTAACGTGGTATTTTGCATGGCTTTATTTTCCGTTAACGATGATCTCCGTGGAGACGGTGGCTGTCTGAGTAATATTCAGATCCCAGCACTTAGCAAGTAACTCAGTGTTGGATGTAGGCCACAAATCGGATCGTAAAGAATTCAACTGTGTATTGACAGCCACAGCGCTCATCAGTGAATAGATCGATATGAAGAGTAAACAGAAAGGCAGCAAAGACAGTTTTTCAGCTTGGGAACAGAGAGAGAGTAGAAATGCCCTGTCCCCAAATAGTGGGAACTGTCATTTGGCGGAAGAATAGCAAGTTCTTTGTTTTCCAGGTCCTATTTGATGTGCATGTGAGACATACTTGTGATTCTATCAGGTTGAAAATGTGGCTTTAGTGTTCAGTTTGGGCTAATTCAGTCAGAGCTAGGGGTATTTAGGCCTAATCAGCACATTCGTGATCTCCGTGGTACACGTAATTATACGTATGATGTCCAGCCAAGAGGTGAATAGTTGAAGGAGCAAGGGAAGAAAATGAAGGAGTTGTCAGAAAATTAAGAGAGAATCCAGGATTAACCTTTGGTGTGGAGGGATCTTTAGCACATTTAAGGACTGAGAAAAATTGAATCAATGGAGGCAGGGAAGTTGGAGGTTGCAGATGTCAAACAGAGTACCAATAGGCCTAGGTCCTGGGGCAATATGGAGGATATTCCTTTCCTAGCCTGGAAAGAAGTGGAGGCAAGTCTTCCTCTAAGAAGATAAGGGAATAAGACTGATGGGTGTGAAATTTCAGAGAAACTGATTTTGAGGCATTTTTATGATGTTTAAAGATGAAAAACGCGGCCAGGCACAGTGGGTCACGCCTCTAATCCCAGCACTTTGGGAGGCAGAGGCAGGTGGATCATTGAGGTTAGAAGTTCAAGAACAGCCATGGCCAACATGGTGAAACTTTGTCTCTACCAAAACTACAAAAATTAGCTGGGCGTGGTGGCAGACGCTTGTAATCTCAGCTACTCAGCGGCTGAGGCGGGAGAATCGCTCTAACGCGGGAAGCGGAAGTTGCGGTGAGCTGAGATCGCGCAGTTGCACTCCAGCCTTGGCAACAAGAGCAAAACTCCGTTTCAAAAAAAAAAAAAAAAAAAAAAAAAGAAAGAAAGAAAAAAGGCTGCATGATATGATAGAGTTTTCAAGTAAATTCTAGAAGTTCTTGAATATAAATATCACCGAGGCAGAAGTTCCCGTTTGCCACCGACGCAACTGTCAGGTGATGTAAAAACTTCCGGAATGGAAAAATGGCAGCCGCCGTTCCGGACTCAGGTGTGAGTGCAGAGGAAAATCTGAAAAAGACCCCAGAGAGGAATATGAAAATGGTAACTGGAGCCGTAGCATTGGTGCTGGAAGGCAGGGTCACAGACATTTCCGGTAGCGAAGGTTCTGTAGGAAGCTGTGGATCAGAAAAGGACCACTTTTATTCTGATGATGAAGCAATATAAGCTGACAATGAGGGTGATGCTGAGCCCTGTGACAAAGAAAATGAAAATGACGAGAATCAAGTGTTGGGACTAATACGGGCTGGGCAGATGCCATGGCTAAAGTCCTCAACAAGCAAACTCCTGAAACTAAACCTACTATTCTGGTCAAAAATAAGCTGGAAAAGGAAAAAGAAAAGTTAAAGCAAAAAGACTAGAGAAAATAAAGCAACGTGATAAGAGGCTAGAGTGGGAAACGATGTGCAGAGTGAAGCCCGATATTGTCCAAAACAATGAGATGGAAATCTTCAGAGAATTGCAACAAGGAGTGTGGTGTAATTATATAATGCCGTTCAGAAACATCAAAAGAACGTTGATGAAAAGGTTAAAGAAGCTGAAAGCTCTATTAGAAAGTGTGCTAAGTTGATATCAACTGTTTCTGAGAAAGATTTCATCAGTGTTTTGAGAGGAATGGGTGGAAGTACAAATGAGACTACTTCAAGCAGGAAGAAACCAAAAACCGAACGGGCTGAAGTGAAATCAGAAGAGGGCCCAGGTTGGACGATCCTATGTGATGAATTCACGATGGAAGCATCTATGAAAGACTGGGGTAAGGAAAGTGATGGGCCAGATGACAGCAGACCAGAATGTGCAAGTGACTCTGATACATAAAGTATCACAGGAAATACAATTGAATTGCAATCATTTTATTTTTTCATCCTCTGATAGTTGGGGAATTATAAGGATACCATTTGTAAGAAAGCCAAAAGACTTTTGCCAGATTTCATATTTCCCCTTTTCATCTACACTTTATATATACTTTATTAAATTTATATTTTAACCCTTGAAAAAAAATAAATGTCACCAAAACTTACTAAAATCATTGTCTGCCTTGATTGTCTTCCTCACTCCATATATAATCTTGCCTTCCTCTAATCCCAGATTATATATTATATAGTTCCTATTATACTTGTCATTCATCTTCTGTGTACTATTAGGAGTGATTCATTTTTATTCTTTCTATGTCATACATGTGTGGGGTGCCAAGATGAGGGAATTCTCCTTGGATTAAAGTGACAATAAAGGCCAGTGTGGTCCTTGTAATTGCTACTCCTAACATAAGTTAGGACTTACAGTCATGAACCTTAAAGGGATCTGAATATAAATAGCACACTAACATTTTTTTTTTCCTACTTAGGTAATGTTATGCATTTAAGCAAGTCTGATTTTGCCAGACCACAGTAGATGTCCTGTTTAGCACTCTTTTCTCAACGTTTTGTATTGTGCTGGGAAAAGCCTGGCCAGAAGAATGAAGTTACTGGTAGTTATGTCAGGTCATCAAGCTCCTTGAAACGTTGGTCATCATTTTGAAGTAAATTGTTGTCACATCTCCATATTTTCTCTTTCCCCCTTAGAACAGTAAATGCTTTTCTATCTTTGATTTCAATTTTTTTGTGAATGTATAAAGCCAGTTTATAAATTAATAGACCTGGTGAATATTAAAGTCATTTCAGATTCTCTTCAACTGCCAGTATATAAACATGGATTTTCAAATAGTGCTAATCAATGGGATACCCTTTTGTTTTTCTTTAGGATTTTATAAAGATGTCCCTAATATGCAAAAATAAAATGTTTCCCCATTCATTTGTTCTTTCAACTTTCTCAAAGGAATGTCACCAAAACTTACTTGCATCTTTTTTGAAGCAAACATTCTAAAAGCTTCCTCTTTTAAAGAGTGAGAACATAAAATAGCTTTCAGAATTCTAATTTGTAGACCATAACTGTGTAGAGTGGGTCAGGTTGCTGCTATAATCCATACATGGGTGCGTCCTCAGAGAGGTAAGTTTTGTTTTGTTTTGTTTTTTTGTTATTCTGATTCTAATTACCACTTCTTCACCTGCTGAATCACTTCACTTAAATAAGTATGGTCATTTATCTCTATTAAGCTATTTTTTTCTCTCTTAGGGATTAATGGTTCATCAAGGGGTAGTGGTACTTGTGTCGTGAGAATCACTTCATCATGCGAAATCTGAAGTTATTTTGGACCCTGGAGTTCAGAGATATTCAAGGTCCAGGAAAACCTCAGTGCTTCTCTCTCCGAACTGAACAGGGGACAGTGCTCATTGGCTCAGAACATGGACTGATAGAAGTAGACCCTGTCTCAAGAGAAGTAAGTTAGTAATGGAGAATGCTAGCACATGGGTATGACCCTTGACTTGTCTTCCTCCAAATTTCTTTCCCCACATAGTCTTTGTGAATTTCATACCTCTTATGAATTTATATCCTCCTAAATAAACATTCTCTTTGCTTCATATATATGCCATGTTAGACATAGCTTAAATAGTCACCCATCTTTAAATCTGCTGTGATTTTAACCTAAGTCAGAAAAACTGACCTTACTTTTTGAGTGGGTACCCTACTTTTGACCCTTTTGGTCATGCAAATTCTGTTTATAGTAGTGGTTTTCAATTGGGAATGAACATGCAAGTTGCTGGTGGAGCTTTCTAAAAGCTTGAGCCCATATCTCATATCAACTAAATCAGAATCTTTAGTGCTGGCTGCTAACCGTACATGCTTTTAAAACCTCTGTGGGCTGGTTTTGGTATGGTCCTTTGATTATATTCTTCTACTAATACATTTTAGGCAGTTACATTCTTTAATGCCTTTTCCCCATACTATGGAAATCTTAGAAAAACATAATTATTAACATCATGTCTTATTGCACATTTTTAAAGAGACCAGGCCTATTGTTTTGATTTTTGTGTTTGTTTGGCAAAAAGGTCATATTACCTATGTTTCTTGTTAAAGATGAGAGTGTTGATATTTCTCAGATGAAAGTTTAGATTTTCATCTAGAAAAAACATTTTTGAAAGTTTTTA